ATTATTGCTTCAATTGGTAGCAACGCAGCTGCAACAGAGGTTAAGGATCACTGACAACTGTACAGCGTGAGGATGGATTACGGTCTCCCTTCTACAGGCATTTAAATTCAGAGAATCTGAGTAAGCCGCTAAATAGACTGATGATTATATATGTTCATTTACACATATCGTCTTTTTCTGTTTTGTTTAATCAGGAAGTATATTAATTACTGAACAGAACAGGCCTCTCCTAATCTGAGCAAGGATAACTAAAGGAGCTACTCACCAGTAGTTTTGTATAGAAATTAGATATCAATTGCTTGCCTGCATAAGAAATTACGACTGAAGGGCCTTTACATTCTAAACATACCGAATCTTGTCCCTATATTGAGTTTGATTTGAAAAAACAAGAGGCCCAGAGGGCCTGTATCGCTCACCTGGAAATGTTTATAAAATTAAAGTTGAAATAGCCAGACATGTTGCTGTACATGTATTACATGGTTAGTCAGGGGTTATGTTTATATGCAATTTGACAAATCCTGTCATTCCTACAAGAAAGAGAGGATTTTAAACCTATTTTTCTATTTTCCCTATTTGGCCCGCCCCTCTGCCCCAGGGGGTTGAAACCCAGAGTTTATACAAAATAAGTTCCCCATCACCAGAGGAGGCTTCATCCCAAATTTGGACAAAATCCCGTCATTCTACAAAAGAAGAAGTATCTTTAATAATTTGTTCTATTTCCCCTATCGGGCCAGTCCCACTGCCTCCAGGGGGACCACACTCGCTGTTTAAACAAAACTGTGTCCCCTTGGCCCAAGTATGCTCCAGACTAAATCAGGATCAAATCCCTTAACCCAAACGGTAGAATAAGGCTTTTATAGGTTTTTACCTCTATTTCAGTTATTTGGCTCCGCCTCTCTACCCCCACCCACCATTTATACAAAATTGTGTCCCGTTGGCCTACGGAGGATTCAGACTTATTTAGGATAAAATTCCTTATTCAATACGGTAGAAGAAGTTATTTGAAGGTTTTACCTCTATTTCCGTTGTTTGGCCTCTCTGCCTCCAGGGGGCCACATCCAGCGTTTATACAAAATTGAGTCCCCTTGGCCTAAGGATGCTTGAGACCAAAATTGGTCAAAATATACTCGGCCGTTCAGGACAAGTAGCATTTTAAAGGAAAAGTTGACGGACGGACGACGGACGCTGCGTTATTCGGACCAGGTGAGCTAAAATTGATTTCTCTCAAAGTGCCTATATTGCTCACCTGGATATTTAAGCAATCATGGGAAGGGGCCAGACTCCAAGTCCAAACCTTGTAGCGTATCTGTATTGGATTTGTCATGCCAAGCAATGTAATGTATGGCTATTTGGTGGGGATCTCAACTGTTTCCAAGCTGTGACTATGAAACTAAGTCCCTATGGTTGTGGCCATACCCATAGGGCAATTATAATATCATGACTCCAGACGTCTCTTTATGCCCAGCATTTGTATGTATAGTTTTGGGTTGGAATCTCAACAGTTTCAAGGTTATGGCCCAGGGGTTAAGTTTGCAAGGGTGGGGCAGACCCAAGTGTCAATTATAATATCATGACAGCATTTGTCTCTTTATGCCCAACAGCTGTATATATAGTTTTGGGTTGGGGATCTTAACAGCCTCGAACCAGGGGTTAATTATCTTCAAGAGTGGGGCAGACCCCAGAGCCATCCTAGAAGCTTGGTATGGTTTGGTTTAGTATTGTTTAACGTCCTATCAACAGCTATGGTCATTCAATGATGCATGTGTGTAGTGTATGCGTGTGTGTTTTGGGAGGCTGCGATATATATGTTCGTATTCGTCTCCTTGAGACATACCAGAGTCTGTAAAAACGGTAGTTTCTACTCCTGCCTAACGCTCAGCAATTAAGTAATATACCTTTCTCATTTGCGGGTAGACCTAGCACGGAGCGTGGAGACAGAGACACAGACGAGCAAATACAGGGGTCATTTCAAAAATAATTTTATATGGAACGTAGCGTATAGGATATGGCAGAGTGTGTAGACGCACATGTAAGTGACTACAGGTAAGCGAACAGGTAAGAAATTATGTAACCGGTAACCACAGTCGTTGTAGTCTTTTGCGTGGCTCAATGCGACAGGTATGTGACCGTGGTAATTGATATTTCATTATCTCCTTTAAGGATCTCAACCGGGACGTCTGTTGCATTTTTCTGACGCTGATTGAGTTAAAAGAAATTTCCCGAGCCAACATAATCAGTTGGAAGAAGGTTGTTTTTACCAGATTGACAGGGATCACATTTACAGATTACATTTACTAACCAAAACCTTCTTAGTACACAATATTTCCTTTGTTTAACGCTTACATGGTGTCTTTTTATAATAGCGTTAAGCTGATGGTACTTGTTCCACACATTTTCGTTACTTCATTCATTTGCATTTGTGTATAGAGATTTATGTATAATCATTTTATGCTATACTTAGAAGACTGTTCTAGGGGATATTTCAGGGAGTGAATTTTCGGATTTCTATACTACTGCAATCAACTCTGGCATGCACCGAGTATTTAATTTCAGTATAAACCGTAATTAAAAAAAAAACTCTTCTGAAAAAAATACCAGCAAGGTGAGATCAGCCAAGATAAGTTTATCAGTAGTACATGTAATGAAAATCCGGTGATGTTACTGCAGGTAAGGAGCAGTAAAATATCGTTGTCTAGTGTTTTGTCGCAAGCAGCGGACAGGGACCTTAACACAGATAAAATGAAAATAATTTTGAGATGGTCCCCGATTTTGCTACTTTCAGTGTCCGCCCCTGGCTCTGTGGTAGGTCTGACTCAAAATGAGAAATGTCTAATGGGACGACTGGTTTGCCTGTTCTCATTAAAATATGACTGGATGGGGTGTCCTACTGGTTATGTGTCCTACACGCATACACTACACGCATGTATCTTGCACATAGGGCAGGTCGTCCTAAAATGACCAAAGCTGTTGATAGGACCTTAAACAATACTAAACCAAACCAAACCTAGTGATGTTTCCCTTCCAAGCAAATATGGTTGATATCCTTTCCTTGGTTCTGAATCCAGAGACGAAGTCGTTTAGATCAGTGTAGCAAAAATATCCTTTTTGGCCCCGCCCGTCAGCCCCTTGGAGCCCCACTATTTTCCCCTGCAGGTAGGGCGTAAGAATTGTACCTGCTGCCCCCAATTGCATAATCGTAAGAGGCGACTAAATTTGGGACCTTATCTCTTCTCTCCTTTCTAAATAACGACTGGTTCGCCCGTTGTCAGTATAATGTGACCGGGTGGGGCGTCCTGCTGGGTGTCTTCGGCAGCATGTCTCAGTGAGGTAGCACTATAAAGTCGGCATCAGTTCCGCGCTATCACAAGGAGACAAACACGAACATATCGCAGCCTCCCAAAATACACACACATACACTACACGCATGCATCTTGCACACAGGGGAGGCCGTCATTAAATGACCTTAGCTGTTAATAGGACGTTAAACAAAATCAAACAAACAAACAAAGCCCCACTATTTGTAAGTATGATCGATATTCAGCGCAACGTTCTACAGAGGAGGTTGTGTATAGCAATATAGCCAAATTGCCCCCTTTTGATCCCGCCCCCAGCCACCTTGGGGGTCGCACCCACCATTTGTACAATTATGAATCCCCACTACCTAGGGATGCTTCAAGTCAAATTTAGTTAAATTTCAATCAGTGGTTAAAAAGTTGTTGACGTAAGGACGACGACAGGAATTTTTTAAGTTCTTTACAGGTTTCAGTTCATACCTAGATCTATAACAATTTAATTCAACAAGATTTGGATTTGTTGACAAATTTATTGATGAATTATATTTCGAGTTACAGAATGTGAACAAAAATAAATACCTCGGTCTGATCCATGAGACCAGACCAATAACACTAATTAAGGCAAAAATTGTAATCAGATCCTTGAAACCAGACCAGGAAATACTATATACATGTAATAGTATGCCCTTTCAAAACATGTCCCACTATACACTACACTCAATCATTGGCAATATTTCCTTCAACCTTTAAATTTACGTATGGAAGACAGAATGAGAATGGATTAATGCCATGTATGCAGAAGGCATACCCGGTCAATTGCATTAATATTGTAGTGACCCCAAATACTGGTGTGAAGACTCGTAAAGCTTTACCGTGAACAAACCTCAATGAAAGTCTGCAGGAAGTGATTGACATAAACTTTGACAGGACCCTGCAGGTAGGGCGTAAGAATTGTACCTGCTGCCCCCAATTGCATGATCGTAAGAGGCGACTAAATTTGGGACCTTATCTCTTCTCTCCTTTCTAAATAACTTTCTTCTTCCTAATGTCTCCCTTGACAATGCCTCACTTTTGGCCATTTGTTGAGCGTTCGCCCCTGTGAGGAAGGCTTTGGGTTCTGTCCCCTGGCCGAGACATACCAAAGTCTTTAAAAATGGCAGTTTCTACTCCTGCTTAACGCTCAGCAAATTAGGAGTGGGACGACTGGTTCGCCCGTTGTCAGTATAATGTGACCGGGTGGGGCGTCCTGCTGGGTGTCTTCGGCAGTATGTTTCAGTGAGGTAGCACTATAAAGTCGGCATCAGTTCCGCGCTATTACAAGAAGACAAACACGAACATATCGCAGCCTCCCAAAATACACACACATGCACTACATGCATGCATCTTGCACACAGGGGAGGCCGTCCTTAAATGACCTTAGCTGTTAATAGGACGTTAAACAAAATCAAACAAACAAACAAACAAACAAATAAACTTTGACAGTGCTTTGCCATAAACCCTTCATTTTGTGAGCCGGGCAGCTGACATTGACCTTGGGGCCTGGACAACCATCCCCCTCCCTAAAGAAGTGTGCCAGTGAAGAAGTGACATTTTGTGATTGTTTTCATGTAGGATTTAGTATAGATATTTCTTGGCGTTGCGTTTAATTACCTGACCGGGGATCCTTAAAAGTATACCGACAGATACCGGAACTGATCGAGAGGGCGTCCTGGATACAGCATTTTGGTTCCCAGACAGGTAAGACGTGTTTTGTCTAGCTAAGTATTCAATTAATTTAAGTATTCTCCGTCGCCTATCCTTCCAAAATGCGGGGTTGGGAACTTTTATTGAACATCCATTGCTAGGTTTTGAGTAGTATTTTTGCACTCCAGCGTTAATTTATATTTTGGTAGAGAAAACGCGAAGTAAATTGTGATATATTTTTCGGGAGACATGCCGGTTTTCATACCGTTATGAGAAGAGAGAGATGTTTGTTGATAGCACTTAGGCAATGGCTGAACATTATCCGCCCTATCTGTTTAGGGACTTTTAGTAAGGGTTTCTATGATCGGTAGGCTCCTTTAGCTCACGTGAAAGAATGTTGCAAAAATAGAAGGGTTAACGGGTAAGCTATTGAGTGGAAGTGATATCCGGGTGAGGACAAAACCCGGAATGCACTCAGGCGTGGAGAGTTTTTTGTTGAATTTTTGTATATATTAGGCGGTATCTCCCTCAATACGTCATGGATTGTTATTCGGAGACATGGTTCATTCCGCCCACCACTTTTGCATCGAGTTTGTGATGTATATTAATAAAAATTATATCAGCTTAAAGATTATAAAATTATCTTGGTTAGAGTGGTCACCAAACAAAATTCGGTTCTGCAATTAACGAGTAATGTTTTAAAAAAAGGCAAAAATTTACGAGAAAATTTGACTTTTTACGTCATTTTTTAAACGACTTCGAATCATTCCGGCCACCACTTTTGCGATTGATATGTACGATGTGTTAAAACAATTGATATCATATTAACAAGTGCAAAATTTTCTTGACCAAGGTGGTCTCTGAACAAAAATTTGTTTACAATTTTTCGAGATATGAGTATTTATTAGAACGAAAACAGCTGACAAATTGCTATTTTTATTTCATAGTGGTTCATTCCGGCCACCACTTTCTCCTCCAATATTAAATAATGGTAAGTATAACTTATATCATTGTAACGGGTATAAACCTATCTTTCCTAGGCTGGTCTCCGAATAAAAATTCATTATATATTATAGGAGACACGGCCTAATATATACAAAATTCAACAACAAAATCTCCACGCATGAGTGCATTCCGGGTTTTGTACTCGCCCGTGATAGCCGTATGTTCTCGACCACGTGTCATCGTTATTTCGTGGAGAGCTTTATAATTAGTCCCAATGTATCTAGCTAGGTTGTAGAGTGCGTACAAATTATAGACAGGACCATTTTACTTTTTATTTCACCGAATTTTAGTGTAAATCCGGAAAAACCCACTTGCCGCCACGTCCGTTGTTAAGTTTGACAATAAACGTGTAAAATCTATATCTGCCCAAGTTGTTTTTGTCATCAAATTCTGCTTCCTGTCTTTTATTTCATACTTCATTTAAAATCCATGGAATCTGCAAGCGAAAGCGGCAGTCGAACCCGAGTGAGTAGGTAACGTTCGTTACAATTAGCGCCCACGTAGGTCCGGACCCGTTCGTTACATAACACTCATATTGATAAGCCTCCTTCCCCTACGTGTTAGTCCTTTAGTTGTTGTCCCTTAGCTATAAGACCACTACCTGATACATTGTTGTCTCCCTAGACGTTAGCTCCCTACCTATAACCTACTTGTAGCTCACCTCGTAGCTGTAGCCCATACCTGTGAGCCCTTGTCTGATATAACTGGAACCGGTTTGTACATTCTCTGATCTAAACAGAGTCAAAGATGAAATTTGGGATGGAGTAGGGAGGGATATTTACTTTCGATGTTTACTTTTCTTTTCTTACTTCACTTCAGTCAATACCTCACCCCTTTGAAGTGTTACGTCTAAGGTTTTGATTGTGACAATATAATAAAACAAATCAAATTAGAACGACATATTTAATTTTAATGTCTAATTATTTACTATAAACTTTACAATATTTACCAGATTTTGTTATATTTTTTGAAAAGAAATCGAACAAGTCAACTGAAAGTAGAATGCGATATATAGTTATGATGTGTAATACAGGGTGTATTAGTAAGGATTATACATCTAAATGATTAAAATAATTGGTCAATAGATTCCATAGTAGACAGGATCCAGATCAGACAGGGTCGACATTTAAAAAAGATAAAACCTGTACCAGAAAACACTGCCTCTTCTATGGTTATTTTAAATAGTTTTGTTCGTGTTGAGAATATTTAAAGTGTAAACAGCTTTTGTAATTCATGCATAATAATTTGGCGGTATATGCTTTGATAAGATCAAGGACGGACAAAACAACACGACGACATGCTAAAAGAAATTCGGTGTCAACAGAGAACACACGAAATCTATTTTAAGGGCCTAGTGTTGACATCAAGATTTAAGTTTGTTTATTCAGAGCGGCTGAGGGATTTCGTTGTTTTTGTCGCTATGAAAATGACAGATACTAAGTTTTCTATATATGTATCGATGTACGTGTAGAAGGTTTATAATATCTTTAGTATTTTACAGCACATATCCGCAGACAGTCAATATGTGTATTTTTTTCCGGTACACACATACAGACAGGTAAAATGTTAAGTATTGTACATGTACGGCATACGTTCACAGAAATATCATATGTGTAATATTACTGTACCGTAAACCTTTATAGAGAGTTGATAAGTAAATTATAATATGGAACACATCAACATGCTCTGTACAAATGTATACTTTGGTTTGGTTTAACGTCCTATTAACAGCTTAGGTCATTTAAGGACGTGCCTCCGTGTATGTTGTGGATGCGTGCATGTGCTGGAGACAGGGTATGTTAGTATACTTGCCTCCTTGGTAATGACCTGAGCTGTTAATATGACGGACGTTGAACAACATCAAACCAAAACAAACCTGGTGAAAGCGCAGATCTGATGTCGACTTTATAGTGCTATCTCACTGAAAAAGCATTTCGCCCGGTTACATTATACCGACAACGGCTGACAGGTTAAGCAGGGAATAACAACAGCAATTTTTAAGGACTTTGGTATGTCAATGCCTGTGGACAGAACCCTTTGCCTTCCTCACTTGATTGAATGCGCAACATTAAAGCAAAAAGTTAGGTATTGCCAAGCAAGTCGCTAGGAAATATAAGGTAGCAAAAGTAAGAGAAATATTAAGATCCCAACTATTGCGATTGGTGCAGCAGAATTTTTTTGGTCGCTTTTATGTCCTCAAGTAGAAGGCACAACAGAAAATCCCTTATTCTGCAGGAGGCTAACACATTAGTCTCCTCTTACGATAATACAGCGGGTAACAGCAGTATATTATTTTCTCAATCCCCTACCTGCAGGGGTTAACAAGGAGGTGGGGCAGCAAATATGGGGTTATTAATTAGGGTCTAACAGCAAAGAGGACAACAGTTAGAGGGTGATAGGTAGTGGGTTAATAGCTAGGGTCAGTAACAATTAGTGGGTTAACAGATATGCGCAACAAAATATGGTAAACATGTAGGGGGTTAATTGCATGGAGCTTAATAGTTCTTGGGCTAAAACGACGAAATGAGCTGACAGGTATGGGATACCACCTAGGGGACTCGTGGGTTGGGGGCTCATTTGTATACATGTTAAATTGTGGTGAGTAATGTTGAGATTGGTTTGGTTAAGTATTGTTTAACGTCCTATCAACAGTTATGGCCATTTAAGGACGGCCTCCCTTGTGTGCATTATCCATGCGTGAAGTGTATGCGTGTGTGTTTTGGGAGGTTGCGATATGTTCAGGTCAAACATTTAAGGGGTAAATAGGTAGAGGGCTAACGGCAAATGGGCCATAGACAGGGCAAACTAGTAGAAGTTTAACTGGTATAGAGGCTTACAGGTAGGTGGCGTATTGGTGTGGGTGGTAAAGCGTCGGGGTATCTGTAAGAAGGTCTTTGTGGAGGGGTTGGGAATTAGGAGGGCTAATGGGTGGCTGGCTTAGCTAACAGGGTTGGGTGGGCTAATGGGTAGTTGGCTTGTTGGTATGGATGTTCATGCACGGTTGGATTGGTGGACATTGGTTGGCATATAACGGTTAGAAGTCTAACGGAAAAGGGGTAAACATGTAAGAGGGCAAACTTATAGGCCATGCTGAAGGCACCCAACACAGCATTCCACCCGATGAACCAGTTGTTGCCATTCCCCTAAATGCTGAATGTTAAGCAGGAAATAACAACTACCATTTTTAAGGACTTTGGACTTGTCCTGATGTGTAGATAATTACATTGGACATTCTAGGGATTTAAAGCAAAGCTCTGTTAAAATGACAACCCAAATGTTTCAAATACCAATGACATCGGAAATAATTGATTGGTACACATTCACATTACTGTTCGGGCTCTTATCCTTTACATTTTACTTTACTTGTTGCATTTCTAAATAGTCTATTACTTGTTATTGTTATTGTCATATAAAGAAATAAGGTAAAAAAACCTACCAGACTTGAGTACGGGCCATACATGGCCTGTTGTGAAATACCACGGAACTAGTAGCTCTCGGTGACGTTTAGAAAATTCCTTCAAGAATGTCGTCAGTTGAATATTTACTATATATGGGTTGTTTACCTGTATCATTTTATGCAAATGTAACCCAAATTACACGAGAGTACATGTATTTAACACACTGCCAGTTCACAAGTTCATATAATCCCACATTTCACGAACGACACATCCTTCCAAAAATGATTCTGAAGCATGTTAATTCCTGTATTGTCCTTTCACTGCAGTGGAAGCAGCCTATGCTGCCCATACACTAAGTGGTGTTTCATACGATGTCTATTAAAGTTTCTCATCAGACCGAGTACAATGACTTGAATTGTCGGAGTACTGTATTCATGCAACAATTGACAGTAAACGGTCGTTTTCCTACAGCACTGATATTCTTTGCTCGTTAGAAACTGGGTATTTCACAACAAGTATAAAAATAGACAATTGGGAATTCCTACTTTCTGTTTAATATGTAGCGAGTTAAATTTACAGCTATGTGCTTTGTAACGTATACACGTACCTTGTACATGCATTAGTCAGCTGGTTTTTATATAAGTGTTAGTATTCTGCCTTGTGTAGAACAAAGTGTTTAACCGGATATAGACGCAAACTTCATTCTGCTCAAACAGCTGTGTCGATATTTCTTTTTACGTTACATGTTCTCATTGAGTAGCTATTTAAGTATTGTATTAGAACAAAGCACATAATTAGATAGAGTATAAAAGGAGGTGATCGGGTCCATGTGTCTTGCGTTAGCCTATAAAAGTCATTGACGGGTAGGCTCACGTTTTTATCCTCTCTCTCTCTCTCTCTCTCTCTCTCTCTCTCTCTCTCTCTCTCTCTCTCTCTCTCTCTCTCTCTCATTTTCTCTCTACGGTATGTGAAGGACAGTGACTGTTGGATGGCAGTTCATGGTTATATGTACATGATGTACATGAAAGCATGTAAGAGACAAAACATAGATTAAGCCAATCTATAAAATCGCATGGGTGGTGATACGTAAGACGAAAGTCAATCATTTATTTAAAAAAATAAAATAATTAAAAAGATTTATTTTAAAGAATTTATCATACTCAGCCAGCGGGACGTAACGTTCATAGCGGAGGTACTTAAGTGTCAGTTCTTCTAACAGCACTTACTTCTGAATTTTAACCTTGTGCATATATTTGCCAGTTGGTTTTCATATCTTATCTTGTGTAGAACAACGTGTTTTTAACGGATATAAAAGCATCCTTACTTCCAATTATAGTGCTGTGTTGACTGTTCATTAGTAAGTATTTATACGATAAATGTTTCATTGTGTTGCTGTTGAAGTATTAATGCGACCATATCACATGATTGTGTAGGGTATACATTGGGGTGATCGGGTACATGTATCTTGCATTAGTCTATATAAGTCATTGGCAGGTAGGCTCACCGTTGTATCTTCTCTCTTTCTTTCATTTTCTCTACGCTCCTGCTGGCAGTATGTTTCAGTGAGGTAGCACTATAAAGTCGGATCAGTTCCGCGCTATCACAAGTAGACAAACACGAACATATTGCAGCATCCCAAAACACACACGCATACACTACACGCATGTATCTTTCACACAGGGGGGAGGCCGTCCTTAAATGACCATAGCTGTTGATAGGACGTTAAATAATACTAAATCAAACCAAACCAATCTATGGTATGTATACGGTGACTGCCGGATAGCAGGTCCTGGTTATATGTACATTGAAGCATGTGAGAGACATTAGTAACCGTGAAGATACGTAAGACGAAAGTCAATCATTTATTTTAAAAACAAATTATGTAATTTCAGATACATTGTATCAAGTGTGTGAGATGTTATGAAAATAAACTTGGAAGCAAGATACAAAGGGGCCTTGACAGCTCACCTGAAATTGATTTTGAATTGTTTAACATAATGGAAACGATAATTTTTAGCTCACCTGCCCGAAGGGCAAGTGAGCTTATGTTATGGTGCGGCATCCGTCGTCCGTCTGTCCGGCGTCAACTTTTTGCTTTAAACAACTTCTTCTCAATAACCAAAAGGCCTAGGAAGATGATATTTGGCCAGTAGCATGCTGGGATCAAGGGCTACCAAGTTTGTTCAAATAAATGACCTTGACCCACTTTCAAGGTCACAGGGGTCAAATATGTTAAAATCTTCAAACAACTTCTTCTCAATAACCAAATGGCCCAGGGTACCATTATTGGGCCTGTAGCATGCTGGGATGAAGGACTACCAAGTTTGTTCAAATGAATGACCTTGACCAACGTTCAAGGTCACATGGTCAAATGTCGTAAAATCTTCAAGCGACTTCTTTTCAATAAGCAAAAGGGCCAGGGTACTGAAATTAGGCCTGTAGCATGCTGGGATGAAGGACTACCATGTTAGTTCAAATGATTGACCTTGATCCACTTTCAACCTAATGTCCTTGTTCAACAATCAAGAAGATTACAAGTGTTAGATTAATAACAGGTGAGCGATGCAGGCCCATTGGGCCTCTTGTTATTAAACAAGAGGCCCAATGGGCAAGTCATGCAAGAGAACTTGTAAAAAGGTTTAAAAACATTTGACCCCTGTGACCTTGATAGTTGAACAAGTTCATTACGTTGAACAAATTGTATAGCCCTACATCTCAGCATGCAACTTGCAAAATATCACCACCCTAGATCTTTAGTATTTTGAGTTAAGGTCATTTATATGTTTTTACATATTTGACCAAATGTGACCTTGAAAGTGAGTCATTCCGGGCCTCCAGATAATTCAGAAGAAGTCGTTTAAAGACCCCTGTGACTTTGAATATAAATGAAGGTCATTCATTTGAACAAACTTTGTAGCCCTTCATCCCAACATGCTTCTGAACAAATATCACCATAGTGGTCCTTTTGGTTATGCAGAAGAAATAGTTTAAAGTGTTTTTTTAAGACAATTGACCCCTGTGACCTTGACTATAGATAAAGGTCGTTCATTTGAACAAACTTTATAGCCCTTTACCCAAGCATGCTACTGGCCAAATATCATCACCCTGGGCATTTTGGTTATTCAGAAGAAGTTGTTTAAAAATTTTAACATACATATTTGACCGCTGTCACCTTGAAAATGGCTGAATGTGATTTATTTGAACAAACTTGGTAGTCCTTTATCCTAGTTTGTTTCTGGTCAGATATCATCACCCTAAGCCTTTTTGTTATTCAGAATAAGTTGTTTAAAGTTTTTAACATATTTGACCCCTGTGACCTTGAAAATGGATGAAGGTGATTTATTTGAACAAACATGGTAGCCCTTTATCCTAGTTTGCCTGTTGCAAAACATCATCACCCTAGGCCTTTTGGTTATTCAGAAGAAGTTGTTAAAAATAAAATATTGACGCCGGACGACGGAGGGACGAACCTTGAAAATGGGTCGAGGTCATTGATCCAGGCTCCTTGCAAAACATCGTCACTCTTGGCATTATAGTTATGAACTTACATTTGCGCTGCAACCCACTATATGAACATTATCAGCAGAAATGCATTTCATTTGAGTATGAAAATAAAAACTCTCGTGGCGTATCACATAGTTTATTAATGACGTCATGGATTAACCTTGTTCAAAGAGAGTCTTGTCGCTCCGCTTCGGTTAACATGGAGAATGCCCCTACGTCAAACACTCAAATGACTACAGTTAATTATTGGTGCCTATTTCATAAAAATGGGTCTGTTCCGCGAATTTGTTTAAAGAACGACGCATAAACAAAACACAGTAAATATATGAATTATTTAAGAACAAATAAATTAACTCAAATATTTGTTCTAAAGTAAAAATGTAAATATATGGATTGAACGGCGTTTTGTTTAATTTTCATGGTGGTATTAACGCAAATCGGTTACATCCATATTAAACATTCATTTAAAAGTTATTTATCAAGAAGGAGTCGTTTAAACAAAAATGTCAATATCAGACAGAGGACGGACGCCGTGTCGCGGCATAGGCTCACATGGTCATTCATGCCATATGGCATAATCATTCTACTAGTATAAGGCTTGCACACTTGCCTGTATAAATACACCATCAACATCTTTCACAATATCTAACGACTCTATCGCCTTGATAGATAACTTGAGTGTAGATAGTTTTCAAGTGGAAAAACAGTGTTAGGTCCCCGTAACACTGCAAAACTGTAAACTACGCATTAAAAAAGTTTTTGAATACAAACATACCTTGGTGGAACTTTTATGAAAAATAATAAAAATGGCAAAAACAAAATATAATCAACAACAGTCTTCTGAGTGATTGTTTGTTTGTTTGTTTTTGTTTAACGTCCTATTAACAGCTAAGGTCATTTAAGGACGGCCTCCCCTGTGTGCAAGATTCATGCGTGTAGTGTATGTGTGTGTATTTTGGGAGGCTGCGATATGTTCGTGTTTGTCTCCTTGTGATAGCGGACTGATGTGAACTGATGCCGACTTTATAGTGCTACCTCACTGAAACATAATGCCGAAGACACCCAGCAGGAATGCAACGTGGCTAGACCATGATTCGAACCACGTACTTGAGATTGTTGTACTATCGTTCTAACTGAATGAGCTATATAGTCACCGAAAGTGCACTGGCGCACAGTTATATCCAAAACGAAATTAAGGGGAGAATATTTTATGTAAAAAAAAGCATAGCACAGGGTGACATGAATCCCTAAGTTGTAGAATGATCATCTCTTCATAGCACTCATTTAACAGAATCGACTACTTTGGGTCTTGATTTTACCGTTGGTGACCTGTATGGAAATGTGCGACGGACATCTGCTGTTTGAAGACATAACATACTTAAATTTATTTACAAGTTGCAAACAGTATTATGCATTCTAGAATGTTTTTGTCCACACAAAACATTTAATGCCCAGGAATGTAAACGTTGGAAGGCTGCCAATGTTGGGTCCTTGGGGTCAGCCTTCTTATATAAATCATGTCCCCACACAGGAGGGCTCTCACTCGCCACACATATATACCATACATCCAAAATCCAAACATGCACATCAATCAAACATGCAGGAAAACTCATGTTGATCAATCTTACCTTTCACTCATTATTCCTTGTTTTACATGTACATAAAATTGAACATATTTATATCCACTCACACATACACCACACATATTTATATTCACTCACACGTACACCACACGTATTTTTATTCAGTCCCTGCAGGTAGGGCGTAAGAATTGTATCTGCTGCCCCCAATTGCATGAACGTAAGAGGCGACTAAATTTGGGACCTTATCTCTTCTCTCCTTTCTAAATAACTTTCTTCTTCCTAATGTCTCCCTTGACAATGCCTCACTTTTGGCCATTTGTTGAGCGTTCGCCCTTGTGAGGAAGGCTTTGGGTTCTGTCCCCTGGCCGAGACATACCAAAGTCTTTAAAAATGGTAGTTTCTACTCCTGCTTAACGCTCAGCAAATTAGGAGTGGGACGACTGGTTCGCCCGTTGTCAGTATAATGTGACCGGGTGGGGCGTCCTGCTGGGTGTCTTCGGCAGTATGCCTCAGTGAGGTAGCACTATAAAGTCGGCATCAGTTCCGCGCTATCACAAGGAGACGAACACGAACATATCGCAGCCTCCCAAAATACACACACATACATTACACCCATGCATCTTGCACACAGGGGAGGCCGTCCTTAAATGACCTTAGCTGTTAATAGGACGTTAAACAAAATCAAACAAACAAACAAACAAACAAAGTATTTATATCCACTCACACATACACCACACATATTTATATTCATTCACACGTACACCACACATATTTATATTCACTCACACGTACACCACACATATTTATATTCACTCAAACATACACCACACATATTTATATTCACTCAAACATACACCCCTCAGACATGTACATACACCACACATGTATACACTTATTTCCAAAACTTGAAAACTAACTTGATTCATGCATTCTTACGACATGTTTATTACAAAAACTCACTAACATCTGCTTCATGTGCCCGAGGCAACATGAGACATCCCCACTGACGTCTGCCACCACCGTCGATATGTATCGCAGTATTACCTATATACTTAAAAGGGGATAGGACAGATTAATAAGTTATATATTTCAAACTATTATGTATCCAGTATTGCCTCAAAGAGTCCCCATTTTTGTCTAAAGTCAGCTAATTTTCTATTTCTCATGGCTACCAATTTTTCAACTTTCATTGTCTTTTTGTATACAATATTACAAACTTCAAAACTTGGTATACAATTCTTTGTGCGGCAACTTTTCTTTGTAAATATGTTGTTTTAAAAGCAGAATAAAATGGTTTAAACAATCACCAAACCTTGGATTTCCAAATAAAATCTCAACATCTTGAAATGATATATACTCATACTGATTATCCAATTGTGCATACCAAGCAGTAAATTCCTCGATGATCTAGACTGTGAAGTAAAATTGGGAAAAGATCTGTTCTACTGTATCTGGTTCTCTTTCACAAAATGTACATAACTCATGTGATGCTAGCTTCATTTTTGCTGACATTTTAATGGCTTTATTACTATTTTCTCGATAAACATTTTATATATAAATTGTAAGTCAATTTTAGTTAGAATTGTTGTCCCTGCAGGTAGGGCGTAAGAATTGTACCTGCTGCCGCCAATTGCATGATCGTAAGAGGCGACTAAATTTGGGACCTTATCTCTTCTCTCCTTTCTAAATAACTTTCTTCTTCCTAATGTCTCCCTTGACAATGCCTCACTTTTGGCCATTTGTTGAGCGTTCGCCCCTGTGAGGAAGGCTTTGGGTTCTGTCCCCTGGCCGAGACATACCAAAGTCTTTAAAAATGGTAGTTTCTACTCCTGCTTAACGCTCAGCAAATTAGGAGTGGGACGACTGGTTCGCCCGTTGTCAGTATAATGTGACCGGGTGGGGCGTCCTGCTGGGTGTCTTCGGCAGTATGTCTCAGTGAGGTAGCACTATAAAGTCGGCATCAGTTCCGCGCTATCACAAGGAGACAAACACGAACATATCGCAGCCTCCCAAAATACACACACATACACTACACGCATGCATCTTGCACACAGGGGAGGCCGTCCTTAAATGACCTTAGCTGTTAATAGGACGTTAAACAAAGTCAAACAAAAATAGTTAAAATTGAGGAGATGATATCATTCTGTTTACTTGGTGTGATAGTGTTGCTATTTTCTTCTTCTTCTCTCAGTTCTAGTCTCCTCTTTTTTCTAGCCTTTTTGCCAAAGACAAGTGCTGAATAAAATTAAAAAATGGAAAATCAGAGAAATGATTAAAATCTTTTAAAACACCTTTCTCCTAAAGAGAGACAAAATAACGATGACGAGTTATATATTGGTATTGCATTTCTTTTGTGTCCAAGAACTTAATTACCCTTAATTGAATTGATTACTTCGTACGTTTTTTTTTTATTAAGTATTGTATAGTATCAGAAAATGGCAGACCATCTAAAACAGAGCTTAGTAGCAGGGCTGACATCAAGTCCTAAGTACATTCCCTCCTGGTACAACTACGACAATGTCGGGTCGAAACTTCAGCATGAAGGTTGCGAACTAAATCAGGATTACTATTTGACAAGGAGTACTATATCTGTTCTGGAACACAGTGTACAGGTACGTGATTACTTATCCGCTCACTTGGTCATCTTTGTCTGACTTTAAAAAAATATATATATATACTTAAATCAAAAACATGAAGTCAAATGAAAACCGACATCGACAGGTTTAGAATTCAGAAAGGGTTTATGTCTAAATGTGTGTCACTCGTCTTGATGTTTTGATAAAATCTTTCAAATCAAATAGTATAGGCGACCCGAATGTTTTAAGACATCGCAAACTCTTCTTCGGTGATGTTAGGTATTCCAAACTTGACTTGTAGTTCAGGTTGTAACATATGATAAGTGTAGACTTAGTAGCAAATCTGTTCAACTCAATACCAGGGTGGGTGAGTTTTACTGCGAAGTGGAAAACACCTATGGTTTTCAAGCGACCACAGATATAAAATAGTTTGGGTAGAGGTGTATGGAAAGTATCTCCAATGATTGAGAATAAAAGTTGCAAATATACAAAAAAAAAGGTTAATATATACATGAAAGTTGGAGCAAAGGGATTAATTAAGATTTAAGGGAATCATATGTGTAATATGTTGAACAGATTTATTCACTCCCATATGTAGCTGAATAATATATAGATATACTAACACACAAAAGAAATGTTCGGTTTTAAATTTAATAGTTCATTCAAAAGTTTTGTTCCAATTTTTCCAGTTATATTATTATATTATAAAGTTACACTTCTAATGAATTGGAAAATTCATTTAATTCATAGCACGATATCACGTTTTGGATGCCGCTGTGACATATTAAGTATCATTAACTACTGATATTCAGATTGTGTTAACACTGACAATGCCACCAGTAAGCAAGCACAAGTGTATGACTGTATTATTTCATTGTTTTGATAGGATATCATACTGAATGTTCCATACGACCTGACCTTGGTTGACCTCGGAAGCGGAAACTGTTCTAAAACTAAGATCCTTATAGATGAGCTGCTGAAAAGGCAAACAGCGCTGACATTTTATCCGATAGACATTTCTGGAGGTTTGTTGAATGTGCCTGTAAAAAATTCCTGGATATCGTTAACATTAGTTTTAAAAGAACTGTTTTGATCCTTAAAAGGCATTTCTCCTTATAGTTCTTTATATAATAATATTTCACCTTCAAACGTTTTTATGCATATAATTTGTCAAGGTCTGTCCCTAAATAGACACATATTTAAACTCTGTTTAAAGATCCAACGCAAGTTACCCTCGACGCTGGTAGTGGAACTCGCGCCTGCCTTAACGTCAGTTTTCAGTTGCTGTTACAGTTTGTTGTTAATAGGACGTTAAACAAAATCAAACAAACAAACAAATAAACCTCCAGGTTGATGTCAGTTATAGAATTCATACATTTATTATTATACCGAAATAGAACAATAACAAAGCAGTGAATATGACTAAGGTTCCACGCCGTTGTTGTGGTCAGCTGTCATTTTGAATGAAATTCGAGTGCGTCAGGTATTATTTCCCGGTCATGTGACTAATATAATTCAATCAGAAAGGTTCATGCTGTAAGATTCTTGGTAAAATATCTTAATGCAGATTTCTATTAAATTTTCCCGACTTTATTTTCAGAGTTTCTGTTGGAAGCAGTAAAGGAGTTGTCGGAAGAATACGACGATTCGCTTGTAGTCCATCCTATAGCTGCAGATTACGTACAAGGAATAGATAAACTAAAGTGAGTCATGCAATCGCAATTAATGATTGTATGCGATTATAGTCCTGGTTCGATGCAGCTTGCTAGATTGCATTGCCGAATTCTACTTTATATATATATATATTGTTTTGATGCTTGAACATATATTATGAACTATCACCAAACTCAAGCCGAAATCAACCACTCCGCTCCACAAGTAAAAACTTAAAAAAAAACATATCTAGCATTGGTATATGTCAATCATCCAATTGACCGTTCAATAGAACATCGAAGAAAGTGTTAACGTATTCTATCACAAAACACTCCTTTTAGAAGATAACGTATTCTATCACAGAACCCTTTTAGAAGATGCATGTATCTTAAAATGTATTTGATCTGTTCAAGACGTATCGAAGGTGCTAAATTGATTTTGTGGATTGGAAGCATAATTAACTTATCGTATGATGACCAGGTGAACACGCTCAGGATGATCTCTACCATCATGACAGGTACCACTTACTAAAATCATTAAATGTTTGGAATCATGTGCATGAACTTGCAATCACAACACTGGGTATAAGCTGAATTAAATAATCAAGTATTTAATTAAAAAGATTTATTGCAGTTATACACATAAACATTCGTGATGACTATAACGTAGATTAATGCTAAAATTAATATTTACAGGTTGACATACCTTCAAGAAGCATGTGACGTAGATTATTTAAATGTATATCCACATGCTGTCTCAATACTGTAGACTATATGTTAGTTTTATTTAATTTCATTTCATCTCTTATTTTCGGGAAATACTATGATAATGATGATGAGTTTATTAATAATCCCTTACGTGTACATCCCTCAGTTCCATCATTGTACAAGGATATGAGCTTGTTTTGTAAATATTTCACCGAGAGAAAATTCACTGAAAAGCGTCCTTTGTCAATTTTAATGATTTTATAAATATATCATCCATGTCAGGATTCAGCTATTTAAGTTTGATTTTACGAGTTTTTAACCCCAAAAGTAAACAAATGATTAAATTATTTTCTAAACAAACCATGGCCTCCGCTTATGATATAACTGTAAGGTGTGAAAATGTCGTAAACGGAAATTTTAGAGCCGTATAATTTCTACCAGCATTTGCATCACACATGTTCAATGCAGTTATCGGAACATGGATATCAGACAAGTAAAAACAAACACATTGTTATGGCTCTACTGGTTGTCCAGTGTATGTACCATATTTAATTTCTGATTTCACTAATAAAAGTTAACCTTATCCCCAGACAGTTTGAAAACAACATTGTTTTCCCTGGAACTCCTTTGAGAACTATCTTGTACGTTTTTGGTATTCGTTCACCATTCTTTCTCTTTTGTCTAACATCCCATCATCAAATTGGTTTCTACTTTTGTCCTAATATGCTGACCCTGTGGAATAATATTTCTACTATATCAATACATAAAGATGTTCCGCTATTTTACTTTTGAACTTAGATTTATAATAAAACAAACACTGTAGGTACAATGCAAGCGGGATTGAAGCTAACAATATATATTTTTTTCTAGATAAATGTCGCCTAGTGTTCAGTGCTGACATTACTCAAGACAGAAAGGCAATCCTAAACGCCTACAATGACAAAGAAGGTAATTTTCTTCATCACACAGTACCTATTGCTAAAAATAATATCATAGATTTAAAGAATATCATTAGAGGACTATTATTTTTTAAATGTTGTGTTTAGTAACTTGCAATGTCATTGTTTATTACGCAAAGGGTTACGAATCATAAGTAATGCTGACTATTACACATTTATTTTACAACCCGTTTCTTTCACCCTCAAATAGTCCGTACATTATTGCCTCTGCCGGTGAGATAAGGTGTCCATATCTAGACAAAACGAGTTTTTACTGTACACTAGTTTGAACATACTGTGAAACTACTTATTTAAGTTGGGTTTTTAATTCCGTTGATTATGCGAGTAATCTTTACTCGAGAAATCATAGGTCCACAAAGTAATTACAAATTTGATATTAAACAAATTTTCTTGTGAGTACTCGTAACTCACTGATTTATTTAACCACGTAATGGTGTATTGTCGACAAACCACAAAATGTAGGTCCTACAAAAATATGAGTTCACGGTTTAGAACGGAGTTTAATGGAAATAAAAGGCTAAATTATGTTATTGCAAGTAGTTAATTATTGTAAATTTACATTTTTACTTTAATTGAGTCAATAGTTACTCGATATGGTAACTAAAAGGTTTGAAGTTTATTTTTCCATAAATTCTTCAGATCGCGTATGATTGCGAGTAGTGGATGTTTCTACAGTTGGCATATGATAACGAGTAGTGATCGTGTCTACAGATGGCGTATGATTACAAGCAGTGGTCGTATCTACAGATGGCGTATGATTACGAGTAGTGGTCGTATCTACAGATGGCGTATGATTACGAGTAGTGGTCGTATCCACAGATGTCGCATAACTACGAGTAGTGGTCGTATCTACAGATCGCGTATGATTACGAGTAATGGTAGTTTCTACATATGTCGTATAACTGCGAGTAGTGGTCGTGTCTACAGATGGCGTATGATTACGAGTAGTGGTTGTATCCACAGATGGCGTATGATTAAGAGTAGTGGTCGTTTCTACAGATCGCATATGATTACGGGTAGTGGTCGTATCTACAGATCGCGTATGAGTACGAGTAGTTGTCGCATCTACATATGGTGTATTATTACGAGTAATGGTCGTATCTACAGATGTCTTATAACTACGAGTAGTGGTCGTATCTACAGATCGCGTGTGATTACGAGTAGTTGTATCTACAGATGGCGTATGCTAACGAGTAGTGGTCGTATCTACAGGTGGCGTATGATAACCAGTAGTGGTGGTATCTATAGATCGCGTGTGATTACGAGTAGTGGTCGTATCTACAGATGGCGTATACTTACGAGTAGTGGTCGTATCTACAGATGGCGTATGATTTCGAGTAGTGGTCGTATCTAAAGATAGCGTATGATAATGAGTAGTGGTCGTATCTAAAGATGGCCTATGACTACGAGTAGTGGTCGTATCTACAGAACACGTATGATTATGAGTAGCTGTTGTATCTACAGATCGCGTATACTTACGAGTAGTGGTCGTATCTACAGATCGCGTGTGATTACGAGTAGTGGTCGTATCTACAGATCGCGTATACTTACGAGTAGTGGTCGTATCTACAGATCGCGTGTGATTACGAGTAGTGGTCGTATCTACAGATCGCGTATACTTACGAGTAGTGGTCGTATCTACAGATCGCGTATACTTACGAGTAGTGGTCGTATCTACAGATGGCGTATGATTTCGAGTAGTGGTCGTATCTAAAGATAGCGTATGATAATGAGCAGTGGTCGTATCTAAAGATGGCCTATGATAACCAGTAGTGGTGGTATCTACAGATCGCGTATGATTTCGAGTAGTGGTCGTAACTTCAGATTGTTTTCAAAATGATTTTTCATACAGTTATTAACGCGTACCACATATAACTACAACACTATTTTTTTTTTACCGGGACGTCGTCTCACAGTAAGTGATGATGTCCCATGCTTTGAGCGGTTTATTCGTTGGAATTTTTACTTGCAACAGTTTGATATTTCAGAAAACACATATATCAGAATTGCACTGAATGCAAATAAAGGGTTTGCATCTTGTTTTATTAAAATGTATGTTCCATGAACAGACATAATTCAATCCTGAAGTAAACTCATTTGGGCATTCAGCAGGAAGCACAGTACGAAGTTTATGTTGATCAGCACCATTTGATAACAAGTAATTTTGTATTTATCATTCAGGGGTGAAACAACCGTTCTTCCAATATGCCATTGCAAGGTTGAACAAAGAAGAAGGGAGTGATATCGACTTGGCGAGGTTTACGTATGAGCTGGATTTTATATCTGACAGCGACCCCCAGTACATGAGCTATCTGAGGGCCTACATCCAGGCTAAGGAAACCTTACGGTACCCAATACGTAAGTTGAGTTATGTAAGTTGTTTTACTGATTGCTTCCCTGGCTGAAAACAAGGATGTCATCACAGTATGTCGTTCAATGAATGATACACATAAGTTAAATATTGAAAATATTTTTATTTTTATTTTGTTTCAGAAATACAACCCTCCTTATACTAAAGTATTGTTTAACGTCCTATCAACAGCTATGGTCATTTAAGGAAGCCACCCCTGTGTGCAAGATGCATGAGTGTAGTGTATGCGTGTGTGTTTTAGCAGGCTGAGATATGTTCGTGTTTGTCTCCTTGTCATAGCGTGGAACTGATGCCGACTTTATAATGTTGAAAATATTTATTTTTTTAATTTTATTTCAGAAACACAACACTCTTACAAGAACATACTGTTATATATGTGTACATTCTCAAAATGCGAAAACAAGTAATGAGTTGATCCTGGAAACCAGAACATTTGTCGTTGTATTGTGAAAATCAAATAAAAACAAAATATTGTGTCAATACACACCTGTACTATAGGTGGATGAACTAATATGATAAGAAATTACATGTAAAGTCCTCCAATAAAAACACAGTACTTTTTAGCCATTATGCCTGCAATATTTAGCAACCCTACCAACTAGCCTAGGGTATTACGGACGTACATAGATAATCAAGAAATGGTTTTGATATAAATATATTTTCTGTCAAAATCAATGGACATTCAGGAAATTGACAACACTGAGTAAATAATGGTATTATGACAGATACGTCCTAAATATAAATAAAGTCCCTGCAGGTAGGGCGTAAGAATTGTACCTGCTGCCCCCAATTGCATGATCGTAAGAGGCGACTAAATTTGGGACCTTATCTCTTCTCTCCTTTCTAAATAACTTTCTTCTTCCTAATGTCTCCCTTGACAATGCCTCACTTTTGGCCATTTGTTGAGCGTTCGCCCCTGTGAGGAAGGCTTTGGGTTCTGTCCCCTGGCCGAGACATACCAAAGTCTTTAACAATGGTAGTTTCTACTCCTGCTTAACGCTCAGCAAATTAGGAGTGGGACGACTGGTTCGCCCGTTGTCAGTATAATGTGACCGGGTGAGGCGTCCTGCTGGGTGTCTTCGGCAGTATGTTTCAGTGAGGTAGCACTATAAAGTCGGCATCAGTTCCGCGCTATCACAAGGAGATAAACACGAACATATCGCAGCCTCCCAAAATACACACGCATACACTACACGCAAGCATCTTTCACACAGGGGAGGCCGTCCTTAAATGACCTTAGCTGTTAATAGGACGTTAAACAAAATCAAACAAAGAAACAAAATCCTAAATATAATTATAGTTTGTTTATCTTTTTTTTCCACAGTTAAAAAGTGTCTGAAATCAAGCGAAGTACCTTTCATAAAAAGGAATATTTACTAAGTGTCAGTTTTGCTTAGGTACGTGTTTGAAATAAGCTCAATATAGAACGTTCAGAAGGACAGTTCAGACCACGGCATTGTTTTACATTAAATTTTTGACTCATTAATATTTTGACACTACAAAATATTCTTGTAAAATGACAAGATTGTGTTAATCCTCCTATTATATGTTACCCAAAAATGACGAATTATTGTTTCTTTTCTGCAGCTGGATTAAAAACAGATCTGGTGATGGAAAAAGGAGAACGTCTTTATTTTCACGAAGGCGCAGGAATCAGCTGTAAATATACACTGGAACAGCTACGGAATATTGTGAAGAAAGCTGGACTCCGTCTAGAGGACACATGGACTGATGAACAGCAGCATGCTGTTTTCTGTGGGTGTGCGACTGTATAGTGATGGCAAACATGACACCGCCTGACGCAATCTAAGAACAACTTATATATAAAATATGGACGGTTTAACGTTAGCGTCTGATTGGATCAAAATAAATATTAATATCCGGAGAAAAAATATGAAATGGATTTAACCGATATATTTTTACAGAAGACAAAAGAGGTTTCTAGAGAAAATAAATAACATAGCAGGGTTATACAGCGGATAAACTTTGGAACGGATAAACGAAATACTTCAGATCTAATCCTGTTACGCATTTTTATCCAAAACGAGTATATTAAACCCTGTATATAACTGTATAGTTTTCATCTCATTCTTCTACACAAAACTCGATAATGGTTTATCAAAGACATTGTGAAACGTATTCCTACATTACTGATTATTGAGCGGAAGTTGTTTAAAGATTTTAACATATTTGACACCTGTGACCTTGAAAATAGACGAAGGTCATTTGCTTGAACAACCTTGGTAGCCATTTATTCCAGCATGTTACTGGCCAAATAGCATTACCCTAGGCCTCTTGGTTATTCAGAAGAAGTCGTTCAAATATTTCAACATATTTGACCCCGTGACCTAGAAAATGTCTGAAAGTAATTAATTTGTACAAAATTGGTAGCCCTTCATCCCAGCATGTTACTGGCAAAATATTATCACCTTATGCCTCTTACTTATTCAGTAGAAGTTGTGCAAAGATTTTAACATATTTTACCCTGTGACCTTGAAAATGAATGAAGGTCATTCATTTAAACAGACTTGGTAGCCATTGATTCGAGCATGCTACTGACCAAATAGCATCATTCTAGAGCTTTTGGTTACTGAAAAGAAGTTGTTTAACGTAAAAAGTTGACACCGGACAGGTGCGCTAAACATTGACCGAGTTATGATGAATTGTATTTTACGATCGGTGGCGTTTGTGTACTAATCTGTACAGTTAAAAAAGTATCTTACTTAAGGAAGCGACATAAGAGGACGTGTTATTCATTAGTCTTTTATTGGTATAAATTCCAAATTTCCGCTAGATGTTTGAAAAAATTACCGAGTTCTGATGAATTGAATGTTTACGATCGTCGGCGTGACACACGTGTTTGAGTAGAACTCTAGAGTTCGTGAAGCGTCTTCAGATATTACCTTTAAAATTAACCTATAAAGTAAGCGACATAAGAAGATGTTATTGTTCAGGGGCTCGATTTCAGGATACTTTCGGTTAGAAATAAACCTATNCTGTGAGGAAGGCTTTGGGTTCTGTCCCCTGGCCGAGACATACCAAAGTCTTTAAAAATGGTAGTTTCTACTCCTGCTTAACGCTCAGCAAATTAGGAGTGGGACGACTGGTTCGCCCGTTGTCAGTATAATGTGACCGGGTGGGGCGTCCTGCTGGGTGTCTTCGGCAGTATGTTTCAGTGAGGTAGCACTATAAAGTCGGCATCAGTTCCGCGCTATTACAAGAAGACAAACACGAACATATCGCAGCCTCCCAAAATACACACACATACACAACACGCATGCATCTTGCACACAGGGGAGGCCGTCCTTAAATGACCTTAGCTGTTAATAGGACGTTAAACAAAATCAAACAAACAAACAAACAAAGAAATAAACCTATATACACCAGTAGATAACAGCAACACTTTTTATCGAATCCGGTGTTTATTCACATTCTAAAACCTTATACAAATTGAGGGTATAAAAAAAACCCTTGGCACCCTCAATTTTTATAAGGTTAAACAATGTGTATAAAGACCGGATAAAAAGTGTTGCTGCTATTTACTGGTGTGTATAGGTTTTTTACTAAATGAAAGTATCCCGAAACTGAGCAACTGTGTGTTATTCATATGACTATTATACAACTATGTACCAAACTTTAGCTAGATATTTGAAAAATTGACCGAGATATGATAAATTGAAATTACACGACTGGTGACGTGGCACACGTGTGTAAAGAAATTTACAGATAGTGAAGCATCTTCAAACTATAACTCTAAAATAAATCTAAAATGTAATCGACATCAGAAGATGTGTTATTCATATGACTATGAACTACTTTAGGACGTTAAACAAAATCAAACAAACAAACAATGGTGCAGCAGATTTTTTTTGGTCGCTTTTGTGTCCTCAAGTAGAAGGCACAACAGAAAATCCCTTATTCTGCAGGAGGCTAACACATTAGTCTCCTCTTACGATAATACAGCGGGTAACAGCAGTGTATTATTTTCTCAATCCCCTACCTGCAGGGGTTAACAAGGAGGTGGGGCAGCAAATATGGGGTTATTAATTAGGGTCTAACAGCAAAGAGGACAACAGTTACAGGGTGATAGGTAGTGGGTTAATAGCTAGGGTAAGTAACAATTATAGGGTTAACAGCTAGGCGCAACAAAATATGGTAAACATGTGGGGGGGGGGGGGGTAATTGCTTGGAGCTTAATAGTTCTTGGGCTAAAACGACGAAATGAGCTGACAGGTATGGGATACCACCTAGGGGACTGATTGGTTGGGGGCTCATTTGTATACATGTTGAATTGTGGTGGGTAATGTTGAGATTGGTTTGGTTAAGTATTGTTTAACGTCCTATCAACAGCTATGGCCATTTAAGGACGGCCTCCCTTGTGTGCATTATCCATGCGTGAAGTGTATGCGTGTGTGTTTTGGGAGGTTGCGATATGTTCAGGTCAAACATTTAAGGGGTAAAAAGGTACATTTTTGAAGAGGGCTAACGGCAAATGGGCCATAGACAGGGCAAACTAGTAGAGGTTAAACTGGTATTGATGCTTACAGGTAGGTGGCGTATTGGTGTGGGTGGTAAAGCGTCGGGGTATCTGTAAGAAGGTCTTTGTGGAGGGGTTGGGAATTAGGAGGGCTAATGGGTGGTTGGCTTGGCTAACAGGGTTGGGTGGGCTAATGGGTAGTTGGCTTATTGGTATGGAAGTTCATGCACGGTTGGATCGGTGGAAATTGGTTGGCGTATAACGGTTAGAAGTCTAACGGAAAAGGGGTAAACATGTAAGAGGGCAAACTAATAGGCTGACGGTTATAGGGTATGTGCTTATAAGGCATATATGTGATGTTAAGGGAGTAACATGATACGGGTTACAGTTTAGATTAAATATTTCCAGGGGCTTACAGTACAACATTACAGCTAGGAGGTAATACAAATAGAGGGGCGCAACAGGTAGGAGAAGAATAGTAGTTTACTGTCGGATGAACCTAAGCCTCTTTGTGATAGCACGGATCTAATGCCGACTTTATAGTGCTATCTCACTTAAATGCCATGCTTAAGGCACCCAGCACAGCATTCCACCCGGTGAACCAGTTGTTGCCATTCCCCTAAATGCTGAATGTTAAGCAGGAAATAACAACTACCATTATTAAGGACTTTGGACTTATCCTGATGTGTAGATAATTACATTGGACCTTCTAGGGATTTAAAGCAAAGCTCTGTTAAAATGACGACCCAAATGTTTCCAATACCCATGACATCGGAAATAATTGATTGGTACACATTCACATTACTGTTCGGGCTCTTATCCTTTACATTTTACTTTACTTGTTGCATTTCTAAATAGTCTATAATTTGTTATTGTTATTTGTTAACGTTAGCGTCTGATTCGATCAAAATAAATATTAATATCCGGAGAAAAAATATGAAATGGATTTAACCGATATATTTTTACAGAAGACAAAAGAGGTCTCTAGAGAAAATAAATAACATAGCAGGGTTATACAGCGGATAAACTTTGGAACGGATAAACGAAATACTTCAGATCTAATCCTGTTACGCATTTTTATCCAAAACGAGTATATTAAACCCTGTATATAACTGTATAGTTTTCATCTCATTCTTCTACACAAAACTCGATAATGGTTTATCAAAGACATTGTGAAACGTATTCCTACATTACTGATTATTGAGCGGAAGTTGTTTAAAGATTTTAACATATTTGACACCTGTGACCTTGAAAATAGACGAAGGTCATTTGCTTGAACAACCTTGGTAGCCATTTATTCCAGCATGTTACTGGCCAAATAGCATCACCCTAGGCCTCTTGGTCATTCAGAAGAAGTCGTTCAAATATTTCAACATATTTGACCCCTGTGACCTAGAAAATGTCTGAAAGTAATTAATTTGTACAAAATTGGTAGCCCTTCATCCCAGCATGTTACTGGCAAAATATTATCACCTTATGCCTCTTACTTATTCAGTAGAAGTTGTGCAAAGATTTTAACATATTTGACCCTGTGACCTTGAAAATGAATGAAGGTCATTCATTTAAACAGACTTGGTAGCCATTGATTCGAGCATGCTACTGACCAAATAGCATCATTCTAGAGCTTTTGGTTACTGAAAAGAAGTTGTTTAACGTAAAAAGTTGACACCGGACAGGTGCGCTAAACATTGACCGAGTTATGATGAATTGTATTTTACGATCGGTGGCGTTTGTGTACTAATCTGTACAGTTAAAAAAGTATCTTACTTAAGGAAGCGACATAAGAGGACGTGTTATTCATTAGTCTTTTATTGGTATAAATTCCAAATTTCCGCTAGATGTTTGAAAAAATTACCGAGTTCTGATGAATTGAATGTTTACGATCGTCGGCGTGACACACGTGTTTGAGTAGAACTCTAGAGTTCGTGAAGCGTCTTCAGATATTACCTTTAAAATTAACCTATAAAGTAAGCGACATAAGAAGATGTTATTGTTCAGGGGCTCGATTTCAGGATACTTTCGGTTAGAAATAAACCTATATACACCAGTAGATAACAGCAACACTTTTTATCGAATCCGGTGTTTATACACATTCTAAAACCTTATACAAATTGAGGGTATAAAAAAACAACCTTGGCACCCTCAATTGTTATAAGGTTAAACAATGTGTATAAAGACCGGATAAAAAGTGTTGCTGCTATTTACTGGTGTGTATAGGATTTTTACTAAATGAAAGTAGTATCCCGAAACTGAGCAACTGTGTGTTATTCATATGACTATTATACAACTATGTACCAAACTTCAGCTAGATATTTGAAAAATTGACCGAGATATGATAAATTGAAATTACACGACTGGTGACGTGGCACACGTGTGTAAAGAAATTTACAGATCGTGAAGCATCTTCAAACTATATCTCTAAAATAAATCTAAAATGTAATCGACATCAGAAGATGTGTTATTCATATGACTATAAACTACTTTATTGGATGCACAAATCCAATACATCAAAAAGTTAAATGCTTTTAAGAGTGCGTCAGTTATGAAATTATTTAGATTTGCTCAAGAAAATATTACTGTATGCAAATAACATATTAAAGCAGTGCTCGTCATGAAGTTGTTTACAAACTCGCAACTCAATTATGTAAACACCTCACAAACGTGATATATTATTTTTTTTATCTTGACTGGACTTGATCTCTGAGGAAGTGTTGCATCAATAGTCTAATGTAGGTGTTTGTGACCAGGTATCTCAATGAACTATGATAAGTGTTTGAAACCAGGTATTTCAGTGGTCTATAGTGAGTGTTTGTAACCATGGATCTCAGTTTTTGTGTCAAGGTATATCTGATCAGTGAGCTATATTGTTTGGTGATCAGATATCTCAGTTGTCCATATGTAGTGTGTCTGTTACTGTTCGTGACCATGTACATGTAACTCAGTGTCCCTGCAGGTAGGGTGTAAGAATTGTACCTGCTGCCCCCAATCGCATGATCGTAAGAGGCGACTAAATTTGGGACCTTATCTCTTCTCTCCTTTCTAAATAACTTTCTTCTTCCTAATGTCTCCCTTGACAATGCCTCACTTTTGGCCATTTGTTGAGCGTTCGCCCCTGTGAGGAAGGCTTTGGGTTCTGTCCCCTGGCCGAGACATACCAAAGTCTTTAAAAATGGNATAAACACGAACATATCGCAGCCTCCCAAAATACACACGCATACACTACACGCATGCATCTTGCACACAGGGGAGGCCGTCCTTAAATGATCTTAGCTGTTAATAGGACGTTAAACAAAATCAAACAAACAAACAAACATGTAACTCAGTGAACTTATTATTAGTGATTGTGACGAGGTATATCAGTGGTTTATAGTATAATTAGTATTATGACCAGATATATCAACGATCTATACATGTGTAGATAAAGTTTGTGATCAGGTACATCAATGATCTATAGCAAGTGTTTGTGACCACATATCTGAATGGATTATACACATGGTTGAAAATTGACAAAACGTTACATGTAATCAGTTAATCAATTTTTTTCATTTTCATATATATTTAAGAACTGATTATTTCACACGTTTCGAAAAGTGGGTGTAATCTTATCTATATGTAGCTTATTTTTCCAGATCTCGTGAGTTACGTCGGTTAACACCTTTCGACTCATAGGTCAGACCACGGAATAAGATTGCTATCTAAAAAGTGTTTTTGCCGAGAGGGCATATACACATCTTTTATATTTTTTTTATGTTTTGTTATATTTTATTTTGAGCACACGGCTTCTCCCCCATAAAAAAGTATGCATTTATCATTTATTACCATATATTAGTGTTTCCCGATGGTCAATTATAATCGATATCTAATCTGAAATGCAACAGATTTCCGACAATCGATTATGTGATTTCAACATCGATGATTGTTTTCAAAACCGGAAGTGCCAGTTTTACTTTCATTTTCACCAAAAGAGAGCAGGAGTTCTATGTCATTTTACTCTTAACTATAACTTCTTACCAATCATGCTATTTAAATATAATTAATTGCAAAAAATATAAATGATAACTGTTCATCAATAAAGCTTGTTACGTTGAAATGGTATAATAAAAAAAGATACGAAACTACGCGGAAAAATTGAAATTTGATTAGTAGTATTAATAAAAGGAAAAGCCATGCCATTGTTAAAAAAGGTCATATTTTGTTAAGGATTATGTAAACGGTAGGTTAACCGATTAATAATCAAGAATCGATCGGTTGACACTAACCGATTATATCTGATCATCGATGTTGAAATATCAACCGATTCCCAACACTACCATATAAATGTAATTTGTTTACAAAAACTAAGTGCAAGTGACGCCTTCATTAAATACAGATCTGCAATTAAAGGGTAGAACAAATATTAGAAATAACAACGTTAATGGTAAAAGACATTGTACATGCAAAGGGGACCTAATGGAATAAGTTTCGTTGTTTTTAATGAAATGGAAAAGACAAAACTGAAGGAATAACTTGTCAAAAGTAACTTTTTCTAACAGATCTGAATACATTTTGTGCATTTACAAAGCATGGCAATGTATTGTCCTTAACACATTACAAACAACCAGCATTTGACCTGCCGCCTTATTATATATAAATTGATCTCGAATCCCCCCGACTTCCCACCTTGAACCTCTGAAATACACTATATGCTATGCTGATATGGGTCATAGCATTATGTGTTCTTTGACCCATATCAATATAGCATGTGTATTTCAGACACTGACTGTCTTGAAGCAAATCGGACAAGGGTAGGGAAGGGAACGGGGAGTCATGTTGTGACACAGACACGAACTGACAAAGTAGGTTACGCATATTTACTTTTAACCCACACATGCGCGTACATTCAGTTCATGTATCTCCGGCGGCTCATCAGCATTGTCGTTGATAAACAAAGAAACTTTTCATCTGACCGGATCTCCTTTGCACTGAAGTGACTGGACTTGCACAGGCCTAATATTCGTGAAGCCGACGGTTGTTTTCTTGTTAGAAGTGTGACAAACACATATTAATATTGGTAGACCTTTTAGTCAAACATGAAAATTGTCAGTGATGCGGTCAAAACTGGTAAAATTCACTCCAAACTCTTGTTGATTCCTCTCGCGTTCGGTATTGCAGGCTTCTCGTTGAAGTTTTTCTGTTCCGGTCTTTTTCAACCAATCAGAAGGTGGCAAATTTTGAAGCCCGCGATTTTCAAACCTCAAATATTTTTATTGTGAAACCTGATTCATCAAAAACGTCGATAACTTTAATTTTTAAACCCGTTTTAAGAAAGAAACACTTCAAACCATAACGCATATGTTTGCAAAATTCACGTAAATAAGATGCGATTTGAAACATATTTTTTATTCCCAGAGAGATGTTTAAAACGGCGATTGTTTAGCCTCTGATTTATAAATAACCAATCAGAGCGTCGCAAATATTAACGTCCGTTCTGCACGATGTAAAGAAAAAAGATTGCATAGTATTGTAGCTTCGTTTTGTGTTACTATATATAGCTTTTGGCTTTAACTATATATATACCACGTGTACGATACACGAGACATTTCTGTTTGTTTCACACTCATCCATTATGCAAACGAAATTGCAAAATTTAAAACATTCTTATGTGCCACCTCGTAGCTTACAGTTTACTGACGTTTCTTCCTATGCATTGTGGGTATATTCGTTTCAAATTATATATTTTATATGCTTCCGCTTTTTATGTAAACCCGTTCTTGTCACCACAAACGAATTACCGTTTGGTAAGCGTCATCCGTAGCACTTCCGTACCGTTTGCGTCCAATGTGGAACAGGGAACGTGTACGGGTCTGTACCATCCAGCCATTTTCATCATTTTTGAGAGAATAAAGAAAGATACCCTACTACCACGTTTGTAAATATCAGTCAGATCGTCACGAATAAAAGTCAAAGCAGTAGGCCGTATCTGTGCGCTTTCATTTATGGGGTAATTCCTTAAATAGACTTGTTATTGAGATATACATACCTGCCATACTAAGCATTTAAACACCTGCCATGAAAACGAGCATATAACATTTTACACCTAACTGATCATGATCAAGATCGATTATTATCGGTTATTAGGATGTCACTAGATTCATTTGAATGACAAAGAATATAGATACATTAATATCAGAAATATGATATATACAGCTATATATGGAGGACTGAATGATTCAGTCCAACCACAAAATGGCACGTACAAAAATTAGAAACCATTCACCGCGTGGATGGTCGTGTTTGGAATTGAATACGAGCAAGGTATGTACAAATTATAGTGTTAAGTCATGTTAATACTGAATGTCATGAACACAATTATGAAATATACAGTTTTTAATATCAACATATATGTAGCGTATTTATTCAAAAGATGGGTAATAATACCAACACAAGGATAAATCTATGACATTTAGGGAACGAAAAGCACACACAGAGCACGGCTCTATCGAGTATGACATTATGTATGTTTAATCTAGACACTATAGAAGCCAAAAATAACATATTGATCAGATGTGACATCAACGGTTTGTTTTTGACTTTGATACGCATATTTCATTAAATTGACGAACTAGGATATTATGATTTAGATTTTAATGGCCCTCAAATTGATATAAATGGGCTTTTTGAATCTAGCAACTGTCATTCTTGGTATAATTACTATTCACCAGTAGTGGCATAATTATGAATGTAGTACCCAGTCCTAAATTGTTAATGGACTAGACATAGATACAAAATACACATCAAATACAGTCAGTGATATGGTACAAACAGACAATATCCAACCAACAAATGGCTTGCTCAGCGCTCGAAGTCTTTTTCATCATAATCCGTTGGGTGGTTGATATGTTTGTGTGTGTGAGTGTGGTTGTGAAGGGGTGGGGATGAGGGGCAGGGGGGGGGGGGGNTCAAGTGTGTTGCGACTTCAGTGACTTGGGGGATTTGAACTGTTTCTCATGTACCGCGTCAGGTTTATTTGAAGAATATTTAATCTGGTAGTTCCTTTTCTTGCCGAGTCATAACAAAGTATTTAAGAAATGTTAGTTGTTATTCATTGCCTAACGTTCAGCATTAGAGTAATGGCAAAAACTGTTTTATCCGTTGTCAGTATGAAATTACCGGGTGGGATACTGTGCTTGTTGCCTTTAATATGATTCAGTGAGGTAGTATTCTAAAGAAGGCATCACATCCGCGTTTTCATCAGGATGCATAAAAACCAACATACCCTGTCTCCGGCACAAAAACACTTGCACGCACACATTAAACACAGGAAGAAACGTCCATAACTGACATAAGCTGTAAATAGTACGTTTAACCCAATACAAAAATTCGGGAGAAATCGCTTGCTTCGATGCGCACAGCCTAGCCGAGAAGCCTATTGTTCACGTAGACGGCAGCTTGTTGCCTGGTAACCGTTTCGGTGAAATAGAAAGGAGGCCTAGCACGATTCAATTTCCCCGGGTTGGTCATAAAATATGAACGGGTCGATGATTTGAAGGTGTTATACATTCCGTATAAGTAGAACATATTTTATTCATCAAATGCTATAAAAATAAATAATATTGGGAGTGGGTTTTGGTATGTTTTTCTTTTAATTAATAAGGCTGGCAAGATAAAAAAAAAAGGCATTACAATGCCTTACATCTAGTCATCCCTTATATGTACCATTAACAAGCCAACCTGCTGGTGTGAAAACACATCGGGTTTTTTCATGTGAATAACAATAAGGAGAGCACAGACCTCAGTCTTTGTACAGACTGAAAAATAGTTCGTTAGTTGAATAGGTTCGATCCTAGATATGAAATTCCATATTTAAATTATCCCTTCCTTTAACCCTTCATCAAATCACTTTCTATTAGGCACTTAAGCTATGCTAATAACAATATATAATCAACCAGCCGTTTACAGAGAACGAACATAGCTTTGATCTTTTTTTAATTGGTATTAGATTATTAAAATAACAATAAGAAAAACAAAACACAAATGAATGAGAACAAAGGACACATAGAGATACGCGAATTCTTGATGGATTCGATATTAGTTATTATCACATTTTAGAAGTCCAATGGTGCATAGAAATAAGAGGATATTTTCCATCACTAAATTCCAATGTTGTTAAACACTATTGTCATTTACAAAATGTCAAGAAACATATTACGCCTGCTTCATATCAATGGATGTCACTGAAGAAAGAAATCGGTCGCCCCGTTCCCTTTGAGAAACAATTGAAATCCGTTTTTTATTAGCTCACCTGGTCCGATTTTCCTTTAAAACACTATTAGTCTTGAACGGCCAAGTATATTTTTAGGCCAAGGGGGCTCAATTTTGTATAAATGGTGGGTGTTGCCCCCCTTGGAACAGAGGGGCGGAGCCTTATAGGGGAAACATAGCAAATTCTTCAAAATCCTTCTTCTTCTGTATGAATGACAGAATTTTGTCCAAATCCTTGGGTGAAACGGAAGCAATTTTATATAAACTGTGGGTCTGACCCCGCTGGGGCCAGAGAGGCTGGCCCAATAAGGGATATAGAGGAAAAGCTTTAATTTCTTTCTTCTTCCGTTGGAATTAAGGGTTTTTGACCAAAATTGAACAGTAGCATCATAGTTGGAAGGGAAATCAAATTTGTACATATGGTGGGTGTGGACCCCTTGGGTCAGAGGGGCGGGGCTGAATAGGGGAAATAGTGGTAAAACCTTTAACATCCTTCTTCTGTAGGAATGACAGGATTTTGTCCAAATTGGGTATGTAGCATCCTTTGGTGAATGGGAACCAACATTGTATAAACGGTTGACATGATTCTCTTGGGGCAGAGAAGCGGGCCCAATAACAGATATAAAGGAATAGCTTTAATATCCCTTTTCTTTCGTTGGGATGAAGGTATTTTGAATTCCTATGGGGAAGGGAAAATCACATTTTGTAAAACCAGTGGGTGTGGCCCCCTGTGGTCCAATAGGGGTAATTTAGCAAATTCTTTAAAATTCTTCTTCTTCTGTAGGAATGACATATTTGGTCTAAAGCATCCTTGGGCAAAGGGGAACTAATTTTGTATCAACGGTGGGTTTGACCGCCTTGGCGGCAGAGGGACGGGCTCAATGGTGTTAACATAGCAAATTCTTCAAAATCCGCCTCTTCCTCTAGGAATGAGAGGATTTTGTCCATTTGTATATAAATATTACTCCTGACTAACCATGTAATACATGTACAGCAATATCAATTTTGCAAACATTTCCACGTGAGCGATACAGGCCCTCTGGGCCTCTTGTTAAACATATGATCTCATAATACAATATGTACTAACAACATGGTTTATAAAGCGTACTAAGATACATGCACCGGGTGGTATATGCCGTTTGTCACAATAGCTTGATTTGGTTTGGTTTAGTTTTGTTTAACGTCTATTAACAGCTAAGGCCATGTATAATTAAAGACGTGTCTCTATGTATGTATGCTGGAGGCAGGGTGTCTTGGTGTAATTGCTTCTTGTGATAGCGCAGAACTGATACCGACTTTATAATGCTATCTCACTGAAACACCATTATACTGACACCGGGGGAACGGTCTAATTATACTGACATCGGGGGAACCAGTTGTTTCCATTTCCCTTAATGCTGAACGTTAAGCAAGGAATAACAACTACCGTTTTTGACGACCTTTGTATGTCCTGGCCTGAGGACAGTACCCATTGTCTTTCTCACCTGGGCGAACAGTCAACACTCAAGCCAAAAGTTAGGTATTGCCAAGGAAGACGCTATCAATCAAAAGGTAGTTAGAAGTAGAGAGAAATGTAACGATTCAAAACTATTGCAATGGGTGCAGCAGATTTACTTTGGTCACGTTTGTGTCCGCAAGTTGAGGGCACACAAGCATCCCAAGTTTTACAGGGGAGGGGGGGGGGGGGGGGGGGGCTGGTGTCCCACATTAGCTGATTACGATGCATGCAGTGGACAACAGCACGTGCAATCTTGTCTTGGTCTCCGACCTGCAGGGATGTACGAGCCCTATACGCATGTTCGGACGATCGAAGGTGGTACATGAATTATTGATTTTTAGTAGCATATCAAACAGTTAATGATGGATAGAGGCACTTCAATTTTTTTGTAGAAGCATCAATCTATTACCTTGCCAAATCTTACGGATGTTTCGTACTGTGGCCGATGAGTGCAATTTTGTGATTTTCCATCGATGTGACAAATATATGCATCGTCGTTTAGCCTCGCTAAATACCGTATAGAAATTACGCCAAATGGCGAAAATATTAGGTCGTTGTTTAGGGATCCGACATATTGCGCCCTGCCAGGTACCGTACTTTCGATTAGCGTAAGGTCACCACTCTAAATATCGTTGTTTCGCTTAAGTTATTTCTGGGCAAAATAACGATAACTAGTTATATATTGGTGTTGAATTTCTTTTGTGTCTCAGTACTAAATTACCCTTAATTGAATTGATTACTTCGAACGTTTCTTTTTTAATTTAGTACTGTATGGTATTAGAAAATGGCAGATCACCTAAAACAGAGCTTAGTAGCAGGGCTGACATCAAGTCCTAAGTACATTCCCGCCTGGTACAACTACGACATTGTCGGGTCGAGACTTCAGCATGAATGTGGCAAAGTAAATCAGGATTACTATTTGACAAGGAGTAATATATCTGTTCTGGAACACAGTGTACAGGTACGTGTTTATTTATCCGCTCACTTGGTTATCTTTGTCTGACTTAAAAAACAGCAAACATACAAAAATAAAAGTTAATGTATATATGAAAGGTGGAGCAAACGGATTAATTAAGATTTAAGGGAATCATATGTTTAATATGCTGATCAGATTTATTCACTCCCATATGTAGCTAAATAATATATAGACATACTAACACACAAAAGAAATGTTCGGTTTTTTAATTTTAATATTTCATTCAAAAGTTTTGTTCCAATTGTTCCAGTTATATTATTATAATATAAAGTTACACTTCTAATGAATTGGAAAATTCAGGTAATTCATAGCACGATATCACGTTTTGGATGCCGCTGTGACATATTAATTATCATTAACTACTGATATTCAGATTGTGTCAACACTGACGATGTCACCAGTAAGCAAGCACAAGTGTATGACTGTATTATTTCTTTGTTTTGATAGGATATTATACCGAATGTTCCATACGACCTGACCTTGGTTGACCTTGGAAGCGGAAACTGTTCTAAAACTAAGATCCTTATAGATGAGCTGCTGAAAAGGCAAACAGCGCTGACCTTTTATCCTATTGACATTTCTGGAGGTTTGTTGAATGTGCTTGTTCAAAATTCCTGGATATCGTTAAAATTAGTTTTAAAAGAACTGTTTTAATCTCTAAAAGGCATTTCTCCTTATAGTTCTTCATATAATAATATTTCACCTTCAAACGTTTTTACGCATATAATTTGTCAAGATCTGCCCCTCAAAAAACACATATTTAGACTCTGTTTAAAGATCCAACGCAAGTTACCCTCGACGCCTGGAGGCACGGTAGTCCAGTGGTAGGACGCCGGGCTCGTGACCGAAGGGTTGCGGGTTCGCGCCACGGCATGGCAATGTGTTGTATCCTTGAGCAAGATACTTTACTCCGTTTGTTTCAGTCTACTCAGCTGTTAATGAGTACGTGGTTGGGCAGTGCTAGAATTGTTGAATGCCATCTGTTGGCAGCTCCGGCTGTATGCTCCCCAGGGAGTTTAGAAATGTACTGGCTAGTTGCAAAGGTCCTATAACCACGGGTAATACTTTGTTAACCGCATTGAGACGACCTACAAACTAGGTTGTGATAAAGCAATATATAAGAACCTCCAATTAGTATTATTATTATTATTAGTGGAACTCGGGCCTGCCAGAATGTCAGGTTTCAGTTGATTTTACAGCTTTAAACCTCCAGGTTGATGCCAGTTATAGAATTCATACATTTATTAATATACCGAAATAGAACAATAACAAAGCAGTGAATATGGCTAGGGTTCCACGCCGATGTTTTTGTCAGCTTGTCATTTTGAATGAAATTCGTCAGGTTTATTTCCCGGTCATGTGACTAATATAATTAAACCAGATAGGTTCATGCTGTAAGATTCTTTGTAAAATATCTTAATGCAGATTTCTATTAAACGTTCCCGACTTTATTTCCAGATTTTCTGTTGGAAGCAGTTAAGGAGTTGTCGGAAGAATACGACGATTCGCTTGTAGTCCATCCTATAGCTGCAGATTACGTTCAAGGAATAGATCAACTAAAGTGAGTCTTGCAATCGAAATTGAAGTTTGTATGCGCTTAATGTCCTGGTTTTATGTTGTTAAGATTAGATGCAGCTTGCTTGAATGAATGCATTGCCGAATTCTACATGATATATATATTTTTTTGCTTTGATGCTTGAACATAAATTATGAACTACCACCAAATTCAAGCCGAAATCAACCGCTCCGCTCCACAAGTAAAAACTAAAAAAAACATATCTAACATTGGTATATGTCAATCATTCAATTGACCGTTCAATAGAACATCGAAGAAAGTGTTAACGTATTCGATCACAGGACACTCCATTGGGAAGATAACGTATTCCGGCCACAGGACACTCCATTTAAAAGATAACGTATTCTATCACAGAACACTCCTTTTAGAAGATGCATGTATCTTAAAATGTATTTGATCTGTTACAGACGTATCGAAGGTGCTAAATTGATTTTGTGGATTGGAAGCATTATCAACTTATCGTATGATGACCAGGTGAACACTCTCAGGATGATCTCTACCATCATGACAGGTACCACTAATTAAAATCATTATAGATTTGGAATCATGTGCTTGAACCTGCAATCACAACATTGGGTATTAGCTGAATTAAATGATAAAGTATTTAATTAAAAAGGCTTATTATTATTTATATACATGTACTTTCGTGATGCCTATAACGTAGATTAATGCTAAACTGAATATGTACATTCTGATATACCTTCGTAATGTTTAAAACGTAGGTTAATGTTTCAATTAATATGTACAGGTTACCATCCATTCGTTAAGCATATGACGTAGATTATTTAAATGTATATGTACATGCTGGCTTAATACTGTCGACTATATGTTAGTTTTATTTAATTTCATTTCATCTCTTATATTCGGGAAATACTATGATGATGATAAGTATTAATAATCCCTTATATAGCACACATCAATTCCTTCATTATACAAGGATATGTTCAAATGAGCGTTCAACGAGTGAAGCTTCTTTTGTAAATTTTTCACTGCGACAAAAAAAATCACTGAAAAGCGTCCTTTAGTAAATTTTAATGATTTTATAAATAAATCATCCATGTCAGGATTAAGCTATTTAAGTTTGATTTTTCGAGTTTTTAACACCAAAAGTAAACAAATGATTGAATAGTTTTTAACCATACCTTAGCCTCAACTTAAGATATAACTGTAAGATGTGAAAATATCGTAAACGGAAATTTTAGAGCATTATAATTTCTACCAGCATTTACATTTACACATGTTCAATGCAGTTATCGGAACATAGATATCAGTCAAGTACAAAAAACACATTGGTGTGGCTCTCCTGGTTGTCCAGTGTATATATCATATTTAATTTCTGATTCACTAATAAAAGTTAACCTGATCCCCAGAAAGTTTGAAAACAACATTGCTTTCCCTCGAACTTCTTTGAGAACAATCTTGTACGTTTTTGGTATTCGTTCACCATTCTTTCTCTTTTGTCTGAAATCCCATCATCAATTTGATTTCTACTTTTGTCTTAATGTGCTGACCCTGTGGAATAATATTTTTACTATATCACTACATTAAGATGTTCCGCTACTTTACTTTTGAACTAAGATTTATATTAAAACAAACACTGTAGGTACAATGCAAGCAGAATGATAGCTGACAATATATTTGTTTCTAGATAAATGTCGCCTTGTGTTCAGTGCTGACATTACTCAAGACAGAAAGGCTATCCTAAAGGCCTACAATGACGAAGCAGGTAACTTTCTTCAGCACACAGTATCTGTTGCTAAAAATAATATCATAATATCAAATTAATTTTTAAATGTTGTGTGTAGTAACTTTGCAATGTCATTGTTTATTACGCAAAGGGTTACGAATCTTAATTAATGCCGACTATTACACATTTATTTGACACCCCGTTTCTTTCACCCTTAACAAGTCCGTATATTATTGCATCGGCCGGAGAGATAAGGTGTCCATATATAGACAAAACGAGTTCTTCTGTACACTGGTTTGAACATACTGTGAAGTCACTTATTTAATATGGGTTTTTATTTCCGTTGATTACGCGAGTCATCTTTACTCAAGAATTCATAGGTCCACAAAGTAATAACAAGTTTGATATCAAGCAAATTTCCGTGTGAGTACTCGAAAATATCTGATTTCACAGTTTAGAACGGAGTTTAATGGATATAGAAGGCTAAATTATGTTACTGCGAATAGTGAATTATTGCAAATTTACATTTCTTCTTAGATTTGACTCGATATGGTAACTAAAAAGTTTGAAATTTATTTTTCCATCAATTCAATTCTACAGAGTGCGTTTGATTACGAGTCGTGGTCGTATCTACAGATGGCAAATGATTACGAGTAGTGGTCGTATCTACAGGTGGCAAATGATTACGAGTAGTGGTTGTATCTGCAGATGGCAAATGATTACGAGTAGTGGTCGTATCTACAGATGGCAAATGATTACTTGAAGTGGCCGTATCTACAGATGGCAAATGATTACTTGAAGTGGCCGTATCTACAGATGGCAACTGATTACGAGTAGTGGTCGTATCTACAGATGGCAAATGATTACGATTAGTGGTCTTATCTACATATCACGTATGATAACGAGTAGTGGTCGTATCTACATATCACGTATGATAACGAGTAGTGGTCGTATCTACAGATGGCAAATGATTACGAGTAGTGGCCGTATCTACAGGTGGCAAATGATAACGAGTAGTGGTCGTATCTACAGATGGCGTATGATTACGAGTAGTGGTCGTATCTACATATCACGTATGATAACGAGTAGTGGTCGTATCTACAGATGGCGTATAATTACGAGTAGTGGTCGTATCTACATATGGCAAATGATAACGTGTAGTGGTTGTATCTACATATGGCAAATGATTACGAGTAGTGGTCGTATCTACAGATGGCAAATGATTACGGGTAGTGGTCGTATCTACAGATGGCAAATGATTACGATTAGTGGTCTTATCTACATATCACGTATGATAACGAGTAGTGGTCGTATCTACAGATGGCAAATGATTACGAGTAGTGGTCGTATCTACAGATGGCGTATGATTATGAGTGGTGGTCGTATCTACAGATTGCATATGATTACGAGTAGTGGTCGTATCTAAAGATCGCGTATGATTACGAGTAGTGGTCGTATCTACAGATTGTTTTCAAATTGATTTTTTATACTGTTATCAACGCGTACAACGTACATGTAGTTATATGTTTCAACGTTGTAAATTATACGAAACAACTAATTTTCTTACCGAGACGTCTCTCACAGTAAGTGATGACGTCAAATGCTTTCAGCGGCTTATTCGATTGAATTTTACTTGCAACAGTTTGATATTTCAGAAAACACATACAATATCAAAATTTCACTGAATGCAAATAGACGGACTGAATCTTGTTTTATTAAAATTTATGTTCCATGAACTTCAACAGACAGAATTTAATCCTGAAGTTAACTCATTTGGGCATTCGGCACAGTACGAAGTTTATTCTTATCATACCTGTATTTTGATCAGCACCATTTGATAACACGTAATTTGTATTTATCATTCAGGGGTGATACGGACGTTCTACGAATATGGCATTGCAAGGTTGAACAAAGAGGAAGGGAGTGATATCGACTTGGCGAGGTTTACATATGAGGTAGATTTTATATCTGACAGCGACCCCCAGTACATGAGTAATGTGAGAGCCTACATCCAGGCAAAGGAAGCCATTCGGTACCCAATACGTAAGTTGCGCTCTGTAAGTTGTTTTACCGATTGTTTCCCTGGAGGAAAACAAGGTATCATCACAAGGATCGCAAACGTATGTCGTTCAGTGAATGCTACTCATAAATAAAATGGATACTATAATGGTACATGTACATAATTATCTTGATAAAATAAAATGTTGAAAATATTTTTAATTTTATTTTATTTCAGAAACACAACCCTCATTACAAGCACATACTGTTGTTATATATGTGTACATAAGCAAACAAACATTTAGTTGATCCTGAAAACCAGAACATGTATCGTTGTATTGTGGAAATCAATTAAAAACATATTATTGTGCCAATTCACACCTGTACTACAGGTTGATGAATTAACAAGTCAGTATAGGTAAAGCCCTCCAATAAAAACACTGTACTTTCTAACCCATATGCCTGCAATATTTAGCAACCTTACCAACTAGCCTATGGTATTACTGACGTACATAGATAAACACGAAATGATTTTGATATGAATATATTTTACCTCAAAATCAATTGACAAACAGGAAATTGATAACGCTGTATAAATAATAGGATTATGACAGATACGTCCCAAATATAAATTTGTTTCTTTTATTTTCACAGTTAAAAAGTGTCTGAAATCAAGCAAAGTACCTTCCATAAAAAAAGGAATATTTAAATCTGTTCTATAATTTTCAAAGGTGAAAACAGTTTTCTTCTTCTGTCAGTTTTGCTTAGGTACGTGTTTGAAATAATCTCAATATAGAATGTTAAGAAGGAAAGTTCAGACCCCGGTATTGTTTTACATTGAAATTTTGACTCATTAATATTTTGACACTACAAAATGTTCTTGGGAAATAATGTAACAAGATTGTGTTAATCCTTCTATTATATGTTACCCAAAAAATGACGAAGTATTGCTTCTTTTCTGCAGCTGGATTAAAAACAGATCTGGTAATGGAAAAAGGAGAACGTCTTTATCTTAACGAAGGCTCAGGAATCAGCTGTAAATATACACTGGAACAGCTACAGAATATTGTGAAGAAATCTGGACTCCGTCTGGAGGACACATGGACTGATGAACAGCAGCACGCTGTTTTCTGTAGGTGTGAGACTGTATAAACGACTTCAATAAACAGCACCAGGAGTGATGACTAACATGACACCGTCTTGCGCAATCTAAGAACAAATCAGATATCAAATATGGACGGTTTAATGTAAGCGTCTGATTGGATCAAAACAAAATAATAATATCCGGAGAACAATTTATAAAATGGATTAAACGGATATATTTGGTTTACTGTATGCAGAAGATAAAAGAGGTTTCTAGAGAAAATAACTTACATAGCAGGGTTAAACAGCGGATAAAATTTGTAACGGATAAACGAAATACTTCAGGTGTATTACGCATTTCTTCCAAAACGGGTATATTAAACCCTGTATATTACTGTATAGATTTCGTCTTATTCATCAACACAAAACTCGATAATGGTTTATCAAAGACGTTGTGAAAAATATGCATACAAAGAAATAATATGTATGATATCTTTTACAGAAAAACTGTTTGATTCAAAGAAATTTAAAATTTTAAGTGACGAAAGCGTGAAGTCTATTTGTTTTCATGAATTATAATTACTTTTTTAAAGCAATATATATGGAGGCTTTTTAATAGTTTCCTTCAGTAAGAAGATCAGATAATATATTTAAATATGAAGGAATGAAGGACAAGGAAAATTATTATTTCAAAGTTCGAAACTCCCGACCGAAAATCCAACAATAGATTCAAACCATGGTCCTTCAATTATATTTGTTTTAATGGTGCAATGAGAGCCTTCTGCTCTTCATCGTTAGCATTTGTGGTCTAATATTTTGATCTACGGTAATCGAGACCTTGTAATTCTGACTTGTGGCCTTGTGTTCCTGTTAGCTAGTCGACCAAACAGTCTAAAACAACTCTATTTTGAGATAGCATATTGTGTCATTTGCAAAGAAAAATATGATGTTTCTTCTTTTTTCTTTCTGTTTTCTGTTTTTTTTTTATTATCGTATTTTGTTAAGAAAGGCGTTATAACCTGATCGAATTGCAAATAAATGTTTTTCGCTTTTAACTTTCACACAAATATTTTCGCAATCTTGATCCTTTTACTCTCTCTATATATATGTTTATATAAATACAATAATAAGATTATGTATTTTGTAACAAATGGACATAGCTGTATGACAATAGAGGAAATAAAAGTGCACCCTGCCTACAACCGTGACAAATGTTCAAAATCAACCAGGTTTGATGCGAAACCTATGCACATCCGGTACGGCTAAACTAGCCGTGATTGCACGAAAACATGCGTTCCATGTGTTTTGTGCATTCAAGCGTACCGGAGACGGGGTATTTTGGGTGTGTTTTCCTCCTTGTGGTCACATGATACTGACAACGGATGAACCAGTTGTTGCAATTATCCTAAATGCTGAACGTTAAGCAGGGAATAACAACTACCATGTTTACGGACTTTGGTACATATGTCCCGGCCTTGGGACAGAACCCATTGCCTTCCTCTTTTGGGCGAACGCTCAACAGTAAAGCCAAAAATGAGGTGTGTTTTCTTATTAGCAAGGCGCTAGAAAAAAATGTATTCAGAAGTAGAAAAAGCTATCAACATCCCAAAACTGCAGCAAATTTATTTTTTGTGGTCGCGTTCATGTTGCCCACGAAGAGGGCACAAAAGAAAATTTCCAATTATACAGAAGAGGCGGGGGGGGGGGGGGGGGGGGATGTGTGTGTGTGTCCTCATTATTCGCCTTTTACGAAATCTTTCCTTAATCCCCGGCTGCGATTAGGACGTCCGCGTGTTACGTCAGGACTGATTTATAGGCTGGCACACTGCGTAAGGGGAGGTTTACGGCAAGAGATACGATTGGTTATCGTAACCATCGGATCCATCCCCAAATATTGACAAACAGTCGATCAATCAATTTGCATGCACGGCGACAGTACGTTGGTTTACAACTTACACTGTAACGTCGAGCACGTCATATAATATGGTTGACGGTTCATATGCCCAGACGTTTTACCAGACAAAGTCGGATGTCTATGTTCTATTAAGATGAATCAAGATTCGCATTATTTCCAGCAGATGGCCGTCAACATGTTTACCGGCGGAAGCACGAACGTTTAGCTGGCGCCTGCGTTTTGTAGCATGACCGATTTGGATGTGATTCCATTATAGTTAGGGGTGATCTCCCATGGTTTGAAGACTCTTTTGATGATTGTCAATGATAATTGGACGGCCACATGCTATCGGGATGAGATCCTTCGGCACCATGTTGTGCCTCTTGTTATGCAACATAATATAACCTTGCCACAAGATAACGCGATAGCACACTTTGAAAGAGTCTTTAAGGATTTTCTTGCGACACAGAACATCGTTCCTATAGATTGGTCTCCATAAATATATCTGCCAATCCTATACATATTATACAATGTAGATTATAATAGTCTTCATTTTAATTCTACTCGTGCTATGTAGTGAACGCATATTGGACATCTGTTGCTTAAAGCTTTTTGTTTTATTTTACGTATTATAGTCAGAATTCCGCTATCAGTGAGATAACAAATGTACGTCGTTTAAAACTGTTTTGATTGCCAGAAACATTCAACCTTACTGTTGCTTTGCTGTTTCGTAACACGTCACAGAAAACGAAACAAAGGTAGTTAAGACTTTTATCGTCAAATTTGACGGAAGTATTATGGTATGGGGTTGGCCGTTCGTCCGTCCGTCCGCCGTAAACTTGTATTTGTCCGGCAATCTACTCCTACATGTTTTGACCGATCTCTCTGAAACTTGGTATACATGATAATCATGATATGCAGTTGTGTCGCCCTCAAAAGAATTTTGATTCAACAATTTTTCCAAAAGTTATTGCCCTTTGTTCATTTCAGTATTTGACTTTTGTCTGAGATCTCCACCTACATGTTTTGACGAATTCCTTTGAAACATGACAGCTAACCACTTTTAGAATGATGCAGATCTTATTTCAATGTATTAAAGTATATAACACTATATGGCATTCGATGGGCGTATATTGTTCCGCCCCGCGGTACTCTTGTTTATCCAACTGGTATATATAAAACTGTATTTGAATGAAAGTGATAAGCATAACCTTATGACATAAACAGAGCGCCGAGCCCGATTGATGTCGAATGGCTGTTTTTATTCAGGTTCATTATTCATCAAACAGTATACTGAACCATGTACTTTGACTATTTTCCCCGACAACCAAAGATATTAAGATTGCGTTATGCTATTCCTCCTGGCGACATCTGGTACAGTTCTTACTACCGCATCGCACCCCAAGATATAATGTTCATATTTGAAGTTGATACTGAAGTAAACAGTATAAAATAAGACAACGAGACAAGGATAATGACACCAGGAATCTCAACATTGACCTGGTGACAATATCGAATGTCGAAGTTATTGCGTTATCTGCAACACACTGAGGAATATATGTGTCTGCAGTATGTAAATGTATGATGTAACGTTATGTTATTACCAAAATATATGGCAAGATAATGAGTCAATAAAATAGGTTTACGGAATATGTATTCATTTTCATTTTTCCTCAATGTTAAGCATTACACGTTGAAACAGTTCATTATTAAAGCAGAAGAAAGAAGTCTTAGAAAAGCAACTAGACCGTCAACAAATCACAGGTCTACTGTTGTTTAGTGCTCAGTGAAAGTTTGGCAGTCATGTAGGCAAGCTTTGGTGAATGTGAAATGCGTACATTTACAAAGAATAGTCAATACTTAAAAGAGAGTGACTTTCAATTCAATTTCCTTCAATGTCAATTTCAGCTATGTTGTCGATGTGCTGTCTTAGAACAAACAGAACACAAGAAACCAAGAGTGCCTGTATCGCTAATCGCAAATAAGATCTTAGGGATAGCTCCCAGGAACTATGTCACTAAAGGTATTCCCAGATATAGCAAGAGATTAAAGGTTATTTCTTCATCAGTAAAAGATAATAAGGCATATGTATGATATTGTTCTTTAAAATAGACTGACAATTCAAATACATGCTGTTTCTTGCTAAATCTTTAACATAGTATGTCGATAACAGTCGTGTCAGAAACTGATATCTGTTGAATGGCGACAAAATACAAATCTTCATAATTATATAACTTTGCTCAACATAATGTTTTGATCAACACAGGGTTTATGTCGCAAAGTTCAATTTAATGAAAACGATATCATGCAAGTCAGTGAAATAGCAGATGATTTTCATTCACACATGTTTGGAACGTGAAGTTCATAGATAAGAACAAATACAATCAACTCGAATCAACGAAGCCATTGGCTTCTTGTAATCCAATGTATTGTATAACACTGAGCATTACCTCACAATGGCTGGTACCAAATGCATTGCTAAGGAGTGAGTAATGACAATGAAAGAGCATGTAAATCCTTTTTGGGAAATCCTGATTTATTCGGTTTTATTAGCTCGCCCCCCCCCCCCCCCCCCCCCCCCCCCCGGCCAAGGGCAAGCGAGCGTATGTCATGGCACGGCGTCCGTCAACTCTTCCTTTAAAACGCTTGTCCTGAACGGCCCAGTAGATTTGGAACAAATTTGGTCTGGAGCATCCTTAGGCCAAGGGGACTCAGCTTTTAGCTCACCTGGTCCGAAGTACAGGTGAGCTTATGCCATGGCGCGGTGTCCGTCGTCCGTCAAGTTTTCCTAAAAAACGCTAAAAGTCATGAATGACTGAGCAGGTTTTGACCAAATTTAGTCAGCAGCATCCTTGGGTGAAGGGGACTAAATTTTGTATAAACTGTGGGTTTGAACCCCCTTGGGGCAGAGTTGCGGGGCCCAATAGTGAAAATAGAGGTAAAAACATTTGAAATCCTTCTTCTACCGTTGGCATCAAGGGATTTTATCCTAATTTCGCCTGGATCATCCTTGGGCCAAGGGGACTTAATTGTGTATAAACGGTGGGTGTGGCACCCCTGTAGGCAGAGGGGCGGGGCCAAATAGGGGAAATAGTTGTAAAACCTTTAAAATCCGGGCCCAAACTGTCAAAGTATCAAACCGTCATTTCATAGTTATAATGGCTGTCAAGTTTGAATACTTTCCAATTGAAAATGAACCAAACATATCCAAAAGTATCATTTTCTTATATAACGTATAGTAAGCATAGCCCCCACCCAAGGGGCAAACATGAAGTCTGGGGGTCATGGAATTCACAATTTTGAAAAAGCAACTCAAGATCTTTCAATCTTTGACGAGTATTGGTTTCCAGCCTATCTCAGTCTGGAACAGATGACTGTTGGAATTTCTGACTATATGACCCCTTTTGGGTTCAGCCCCTCAGCCCCTCAGCCCCTGGGGATGATACAGGGTTAAAAATGTCAAAGTATCAAACTGTAATATCATGGCTATAATGTATACATTATCATCATCCAAGCATGATTATGTTCAAATATAAAAATTATGGACCTCTTGGTTATTCAGAAGAGGTAGTTTAAATGTTTTAAATATATTTGACCCCTGTGACATCGAAAAATGTCAGGGTCATTCATTTCAACAACTTGGTAGCCCTTCAACCAAGCATGCTACTGGTCAAATATTAACATTCTTGGCTTCGAGGTTATTCAGAAGAAGTTGTTTAAAAGTTTGTATTGGCATATTTGACCCGTGACCTTGAATGTGAGTGAAGGCCATTAATTTGAACAAACTTGGTAGCCGTTCATCCAAGCATCTTACTGGCCAAAAAGCATAACCCTAGGCCTCTTGTTAATTCAGGAGAAGAAATTTAAAGGTTTAAACATATTTGATCCTTGCGACCATGAATATACGTCAAGGTCATTCGTTAGAACAAACTTGGTTGCACTTTAACTCAGCATGCTACTGGTTAAATATCATCATCCTAGGCCTCTTTGTTATTGAGAAGAAGTTGTTTAAAGTTTTTTAAACATAGTTGACCCCTGAGACCTTGAAAATGGGTGAAGGTCATTTATTTGCACAAACTTGGTAGCCCTTCATCCCAACATGCCACTGACGAAATATCATCATCCTAGGGCTTTTGGTTATTGAAAGAAGTTGTTTAAAGGTTTTAAACTTATTTGACCCCAGTGACCTTGAAAGTGGGTGAAGATAATGTATTTGAACACAGTTGATAGCACTTTATCCTAGCATGTTACTGGCCAAATATCATCATCCTTGGCCTCTTGGTTATTGAGAAGTTCTTTAAACGTTTTTAATATGTTTGACCCCTGTGACTTTAGAAATGGGTGAAGGTCATTCGTTTAAACAAGCTTGGTAGCCCTTCACCCAAGCATTATACTGGCAAAACATCATTCACCCTATGCCTTTTGGTTATTGAGAAGAAGTTGTTTAACAGTTTTTAATATGTTTCACCCCTGTGACCTTGACAATAGGTGAGGGTCACGCTCCTCCCCCATAAACAAATTATGCAATTATCTTTATTACCATATATTAGTGTTGTCCCGATGATCGATTATAATCGATATCTAATTGGAAAGGCAACCGATTCCCGACAATCGATTATGAGATGTCAACATCGATGATTGTTTCAAAACCAGAAGTGCAAGTTCTACTTTCATTTTCACTAAGAGCGGGAGTTCTATGTCATTTTACTCTTAACTATAACTTTTTACCAATCATGCTATTTAAACATAATTAATTGCAAAAATATAAATTATAACTGTTCATCAATAAAGATTGTTACGTTGAAATGGTATAATAAAAAATAAAGATACGGAACTACTAAGTTGAAATTTGATTAGTAGTATTAAAAACAGGAAAAGCCATGCTATTGTTAAAAAAAGGAACATTTTTTTAAGGATTATGTAAACGGTAGGCTTACCGAATAATAATAGAAAAATCGATTGGTTGACACTAACCGATTATATCTGATCATCGATGTTGAAATATCAACCGAATCCCAACATTACCATATATCTATACTTTGTTTACAAAAAATAAGTACAATTAACGCCTTCATTAAATACAAAGAATACACTCAGATCGTCACGAATAAAAGTCAGAGCAGTAGGCCGTATCTGTGCGCTTTCATTTATGAGGTAATTCCTTAACTAGACTAGTTATTGATATATACATACCTGCCATACTACGCATTTAAACACCTGCCATGAAAACGAGCATATAACATTTTACACCTAACTGATCATGATCAAGATCGATAAATATTAAGTTATTATGATGTCACTAGATTAATTTGAATGACAAAGAATATAGATACACTGATATCAGAAATATGATATATACAGCTATATATGGAGGACTGAATGATTCAGTCCAACCACAAAATGGCACGTACACAAATTAGAAACATTCACCGCGTGGATGGTCGTGTTTGGAATTGAATACGAGCAAGGTATGTACAAATTATGGTATTAAGGCATGTTAATACTGAATGTCATGAACACAATTATGAAATATACAGTTTTTAATATCAACATATATGTAGGGGATTTATTCAAAAGATGGGTAATAATACCAACACAAGGATAAATCTATGACATTTAGGGAACGAAAAGCACATACAGCAGGATATATCGAGTATGAAATACTGTATGTTTAATCTAGACACTATAGAAGCAAACATAACATATTGATCAGATGTGACATCAACGGTTTGTTTTTGACTTTGATACGCATATTTCATTAAATTGACGAACTAGGATATTATAAATTGTTAATGGACTAGACATAGATACAAAATGCACATCAAATACAGTCATTGATATGGTACAAATAGACAATATCCAACCAACAAAGGGCTTGCTAAGCAAGCGCTCGAAGTCTTTTTCATCATAATCCGTTGGGTGGTTTATATATATGTGTGTGTGTGGTGGTGAGGGGTGGGGGGGGTNGGGATTTTAACTGTTTCTCATGTACCGGGTCAGGTTTATTTGAAGAATATTTAATCTGGTTGTTCCTTTTCTTGCCGAGTCATAACAAAGTATTTAAGAAATGTTAGTTGTTATTCCTTGCTTAACGTTCAGCATTAGAGTAATGGCAAAAACTGTTTTACCCGTTGTCAGTATGAAACTACCGGGTGGGATACTGTGCTTGTTGTCTTTAATATGATTCAGTGAGGTAGTATTCTAAAGAAGGCATCACATCCGCGTTTTCGTCAGGATGCATAAAAACCAACATACCCTGTCTCCAGCACAAAAACACATGCACGCACACATTAAACACAGGAAGAAACGTCCATAACTGACATAAGCTGTAAATAGGACGTTTAACCCAATACAAAAAACCGGGAGAAGTCGCTTGCTTCGATGCACACAGCCTAGCCGAGAAGCCTATTGTTCACGTAGACGGCAGCTTGGTGCCTGGTTACCACTGCGGTGAAATAGAAAGGAGGCCTAGCACGATTCAATTCCCCCGGGTTGGTCATAAAACATGTACGGGTCGATGATTTGATGGTGTTATACATTTCGTATAAGTAGAACATATTTTATTCATCAAATGCTATAAAAAAAATGTATTAGGAGTATTTTTATTTTATTTTTTTTAATTAATAAAGCTGGCAAGATTAAAAAAGGCATTAAAATGCCTTACATCTAGTCATCCCTTATATGTACCATTAACAAGCCAACCTGCTGTTTTTTTCATGTGAATAACAATAAGGAGAGCACAGACCTCAGTCTTTGTACAGACTGAAACATGGTTAATTAGTTGAATAGGTTCCATCCTAGATATGAAATTCCATATTTAAATTATCCCTTCCTTTTAACCCTTCATCAAATCACTTTATATTAGGCACTTGAGCTATGCTAATAACAATATATATTTAACCAGCCGTTTACAGAGAACGAACATAGCTTTGACCTTTTTTAATTGGTATTAGATTATTAAAATAACAATAAGAAGAACAAAACACAAATGAAAGAGAACAAAGGACACATAGAGATACACGAATTATTGATGGATTCGATATGAGTTATAAACACATTTTAGAAGTCCAATGGTGCATAGAAAAAAAAGGATATTTTCCATCACTAAATTCCAATGTTGTTAAACACTATTGTCATTTACAAAATGTCAAGAAACATATTACGCCTGCTTCATATCAATGGATGTCATTAAAGAAAGAAATTGGTTTGAGAAACAATTGAAATCCGATTTTGATTAGCTCACCTGGTCCGATTTTCCTTTAACACGCTATTAGTCCTGAACGGCCAAGTAGTTTTTTGGGCCAAGGGGACTCAATTTTGTATAAATGGTGGGTGTTTCCCCCCTTTGAGCAGAGGGGCGGGGCCTAATAGGGGAAACATAGCAAATTCTTCAAAGTCCTTCTTCTTCTGTAGGAACGTTTTAGTCCAAATTTGTTATGAAGCTTCCTTGGATGAAATGGTAGCAATTTTATATAAACGGTGGGTCTGACCCCGCTGGGGCCAGAGAGGCGGGGCCAAATAAGGGATATAGAGGGAAAGCTTTAATTTCTTTCTTCTTCCGTTGGGATTAAGGGTTTTTGACCAAAATTGAACAGTAGCATCATATTTGGAAGGGAAATCAAATTTGTAGATATGGTGGGTGTGGCCCCCCTTGGCGGGGCTGAATAGGGGAAATAGTGGTAAAACCTTTAACATCCTTCTTCTTCTGTAGGAATGACAGGATTTTGTCCAAATTGGGTATGTAGCATCCTTTGGTGAATGGGAACCAATATTGTATAAACGGTTGGCCTGATTTTCTGGGGGCAGAGAAGCGGGCCCAATAACAGATACAGAGGAATAGCTTTAATATCCCTTTTCTTTCGTTGGGATGAAGGTATTTTGAAATACCTTCATCACAACGAATGAAAAAGGATATAGCATCATATGGGGAAGGGAAATCACATTTTGTAAAACCAGTGAATGTGCCCCCCTGTTGTCCAATAGGGGTGGAGCCCAATAGGGGTAATTTAGCAAATTCTTTAAAATACTTATTCTTCTGTAGGAATGACATATTTGGTCCAAAGCATCCTTGGGTAAAGGGGAACTAATTTTGTATCAACGGCGGGTTTGACCCCCTTGGCAGCAGAGTGACGGGCCAAATTGTGTTAACATAGCAAATTCTTCAAAATCCTCCTCTTCCTCTAGGAATGAGAGGATTTTGTCCATTTGTATATAAATATCACCCCTGACTAACCATGTAATACATGTACAGCAACATCTGGCTATTTCAACTTCAATTTTGCAAACATTTCCACGTGAGCGATATAGGCCCTCTTGGCCTGTATGTTAAACATGTGATCTCAAAATACAATATGTACTAACAACATGATTTTGTTTATAAAGTGCTAGAGGCAGGATGTCTTGTTGTTATTGCTTTCTTGTGATAGCGCGGAACTGATACCGACTTTATAATGCTTTCTCACTGAAACACCATTATACTGACACCGGGGGAACGGTCAAATTATACTGACACCGGGGGGACCAGTTGTTTCCATTTCCCTTAAAGCTGAACGTTAAGCAAGGAATACCAACTACCATTTTTAACGACTTTTGTATGTCCTGGCCTGAGAACAGTACCCATTGTCTTCCTCACCTGGGCGAACGTTAAACACTCAAGCCAAAAGTTAGGTATTGCCAAGGAAGACGCTATGAATCAAAAGGTAGTTAGAATTAGAGAGAAATGTAACGATTCAAAACTATTGCAATGGGTGCAGCAGATTTACTTTGGTCGCGTCTGTCGCTTACGATGCATGCAGTGGATAGCAGCACGTGCAATCTTGTCTTGGTCTCCGACCTGCAGGGGTGTACACAAATGTACGAGCCTTACACGCATGTTCGGACGATCGATCTTTTGGTACTAGCAACAATCTATTGTCTTGCATAATCTTACTTAAATTTCGTACTGTGGCTGATGAGCGCAATTGTGTGATTTTCCATCGAAACGCCAACAATATATATCGTCGTTTAGCCTCGCTAAATATTGTATACAAAGTACGCCAAATAACGAAAATATTATGTCGCTGTTTAGTTATCCGACATATTGCGCCCTGCCAAGTATCGTTATTTCGATTAACATAAGGTCACCATTCTAAATATCGTTATTTCGGACAAGTTATTTCTGGTCAAAATAACGATAATGAGTTACATATCGGTGTTGCAATTCTTTTGTGTCTCAGTACATATTTACTCCTATTTGAATTTATTACTTCGAATGAGGTTTTTTTTTATTTGGTATTGTATTGTATTAGAAAATGGCAGACCACCTCAAACAAAGCTTAGTGGCAGGGCTTACATCAAGTCCTAAGTACATTCCCTTCTGGTACAACTACGACAATGTCGGGTCGAGACTTCAGCATGAAAGTGGCAAAATAAATCAGGATTACTATTTGACAAGGAGTACTATATCTGTTCTGGAACACAGTGTGCAGGTACGTGCTTACTTATCCGCTTACTTGGTCAGCTGTGTCTCACTTTTTTAAATTATTTTTAATATAATAAATTCAAAAACCTGAAGTCAAATGAAAATAAACGGCATCGACAGGTTCAGAATTCAGACGCCCAGAAAGGATTTACTTCTAAATGTGTTTCACTCGTCTTTGTGTTGAGATTAAATCTTTAAGTCAAATAGTATAGGCGACCCGAATGTTTTAAGACATCGCAAACTATTCCTCGGTAATGATCAGACATCGGAAACTATTCCTCGATAATGATGCAACATCTGATAAGTGTAGATTTAGAAGCAAACAAATTCAACTCAATACCAGAGTCGGTTTGTTTTACTACGAGATGGAAAAGTACTAATGATTTTCAAGCGACCACAGTTATAAAATAGTTTGGGTAGAGGTGTATAGAAAGTATCTCCAATGATTGGGAATAAAAATTGCAATTATACAAAAATAAATAGAAATGTATATAAGAATGGGGGAGCAACGGGATTAATTAAGATTTAAGGGAATCATATTTTTAATATGCTCAACAGATTTATACACTCCCATATTTAGCTAAATAATATTATATTATAAAGTTAAACTTCTAATGAATTGGAAAATTCAGTTAATTCATAGCACGATATCACATTTTTGATGCCGCTGTGACATATTAAGTATAATTAACTACTGATATTCAGATTGTGTAAACACTGACATTACCACCAGTAAGCAAGCACAAGTGTATGACTGTATTATTTCTTTGTTTTGTTAGGATATCATACCGAATGTTCCATACGACCTGACCTTGGTTGACCTCGGAAGCGGAAACTGTTTTAAAACTAAGATCCTTATAGATGAGTTGCTGAAAAGGCAAAAAGCGCTGACGTTTTATCCTATAGACATTTCTGGAGGTTTGTTGAATGCCCTTATTAAACATTCCTGGATATCGTTAAAATTAGTGTTTTGGTCTCTAAAAGGCATGTCTCCTTTAGTTCTTTATATAATAATATTTCACCTTCAAACGTTTTTACGCATATAATTTGTCAAGGTCTGTCCCTAAATAGACACTTATTTAGACTCTGTTTAAAGATCCAACGCAAGTTACCCTCGACGCCGGTAGTGTAACTCGCGCCTTCCAGAACGTCAGGTTTCAGTTGCTGTTACATTTTTTATAGAATTCATACATTTATAAGTATACCGAGATAGAACAATAACAAAGCAGTGAATATGACTATAAGTATATGGTTCCACGCCGATGTTGTTGTCACCTTGTCATTTTGAATGAAAATTGAGTGCGTCAGTTGACACGATGGTTTATTTCCCGGTCATGTGACCAGTGTAATTCAATCAGACAGGTTCATGCTGTAAGATTCTTGGTAAAATATATTAATGCAGATTTCTATTAACTTTTCCCGACTTCATTTTCAGATTTTCTGTTGAAAGCAGTAAAGGAGTTGTCGGAAGAATACGACGATTCGCTTGTAGTCCATCCTATAGCTGCAGATTACGTACAAGGAATAGATCAACTAAAGTGAGTCTTGCATTCTAAATTGAGGTTTGTATGCGATTAATGTCCTGGTTTCATGTTGTTAAGATTTGATGCAGCTTGCTTGAATGCATTGCCAAATTCTACATTATATATGTATTTGTTGTTTTGATGTTTGAAAACAAATTATGATAAACACTCCTTTTAGAAGATGCATGTATCTTAAAATGTATTTGATCTATTAAAGACGTATCGAAGGTGCGAAATTGATTTTGTGGATTGGAAGCATTATCAACTTATCGTATGATGACCAGGTGAACACTCTCAGGATGATCTCTACCATCATGACAGGTACCACTTTATAACATCATTATAGGTTTGGAATCATGTGCTTGCAATCACAACACTGGGTATTTGATGAATTAAATGATCAAGTATTTAATTAAAAAGGTTTATTTCAGTTATATACATGTACATTCGTGATGCCTATAACGTAGGTTAATGCTAAACTTAATATGTACATTCTGATATACCTTCGTAATGTCTAAAACGTAGGTAATGTTTCAATTAATAGGTTTAGGTTGCCATCCATTCGTTAAGCATATGACGTAGATTATTTAAATGTATATGTACATGCTGTCTCAATACTGTCGACTATATGTTAGTTTTATTTAATTTCATTTCATCTTCTTTTGTAAATTTTTCACTGCGACAAAAAAAAAATCACTGAAAAGCGTCCTTTAGTAATTTTTTATGATTTTATAAATAAATCATCCATGTCAGGATTAAGCTATTTAAGCTTGATTTTTCGAGTTTTTAACATCAAAAGTAAACAAATGATTGAATTTTCTTTTAAACATACCTTGGCCCCACTTAAGATATAACTGTAAGGTGTGAAAATATCGTAAACGGAAATTTTAGAGCATTTTCATTTCTACCAGCATTTACATTCACACATGTTCAATGCAGTTATCGGAACATGGATATCAGTCAAGTACGAAAAAACATTGGTGTGGCTCTCCTGGTTGTCCAGTGTATGTATCATATTTAATGTCTGATTCACTAATAAAAGTTAACCTTATCTTCAGAAAGTTTGAAAACAACATTGTTTTTCTTTGGAACTCCTTTGGGAACAACCTTGTTCGTTTTTGGTATTCGTTCACCATTCTTTATCTTTTGTCTGACATCCCATTATCAATTTGATTTCTACTTTTGTCCTAATGTGCTGACCCTGTGGAATAATATTTCTACTATATCACTACATAAAGATGTTCCGCTATTTTACTTTTGAACTTCGATTTATAATAAAACAAACACTGTAGGTACAATGCAGGCAGAATGATAGCTGACAATATGTTTTTTTCTAGATAAATGTCGCCTTGTGTTCAGTGCTGACATTACTCAAGACAGAAAGGCTATCCTAAAGGCCTACAATGACGAAGCAGGTAACTTTCTTCATCACACAGTATCTGTTGCTAAAAATAATATCATAGATTTAAAGAATATCATTAGAAGACTATTATTTTTCAAATGTTGTGTGTAGTAACTTTTAAATGTCATTACTAATTACGAAAAGCGTTACGAATTTTAATTAATTCTGACTATTACACATTTATTTTATACCCCGTTTCTTTCACCCTTAAAAATTCCGTTCATTATTGCCTCGGCCGGAGAGATAAGGTGTCAATATCTAGACAAAACGAGTTCTTACTGTACACTGGTTTGAACATACTGTGAAATCTTACTTTAAGTGGGTTTTTAATACCGTTGATTGCGCGAGTAATCTTTACTCAAGAATTCATAGGTCAACCAAGTAATTACAAGTTTGATATCAAGCAAATTTCCGTGTGAGTCTCGTAATTCACTGATTTATTTAATCACGAAATTGTGTATTGTCGACAAACCGCGAAATGTTGGTCCTACAAAAATATCTGATTTCACGGTTTAGAACGGAGTTTAATGGAAATAGAAGGCTAGATTATGTTATTGCGAATAGTGAATTATTGTAAATTTATATTTCTACTTACATTTGACTCGATATGGTAACTAAAAAGTTTGAAGTTTATTTCCCATAAATTCTACAGATCACGTATGATTACGAATAGTGGTCGTATCTACAGATGGCGTATGATTACGAGGAGTGGTCGTATCTACAGATGGCGTATGATTACGAGTAGTGGTCGTACCTACAAATGGCGTATGATTACGAGTAATGGTCGTATCTACAGATGGCGTATGATTACGAGTAGTGGTCGTATCTATAGATGGCGTATGATTACGAGTAGTGGTCGTACCTACAGATGGCGTATGATTACGAGTAATGGTCGTATCTACAGATGGCGTATGCTAACGAGTAGTGGTCGTATCTACAGATTGTTTTCAAATTGATTTTTCATGCTGTTATTCACGCGTACAACGTACATGTAGCTATATATTTTAACGTTGTTAATTAATACGAAACAACTATTTTTCTTACCGATACGTCGTCGCACAGTAAGTGATGACGTCACATGCTTTGAGCGTTTTTTTCGGTGGAATTTTACTTGCAACTGTTTGATCTTTTAGAAAACTCATATTATATCAAAATTGCACTGAAAGCAAATAGAGGGATTGAATCTTGTTATATTAAAATGTATGTTCGATGAACTTCAACAGACAGAATTTAATCCTGAGGTTAACTCATTTGGGCATTCAGCACGAAGCACAGTACGAAGTATATTCTTATCATACCTGTATGTTGATCAGCACCATTTGATAACAAGTAATTTGCTTAAACGTTGAAGAAGAATGAATATGAATACATATTCCGGGAACCTATTTTATTGACTCATTATCTTGCCATATGGTTTGCTAATACAATACAGCTACGTGATGCATTTACATACTGCAGATACATATATTCAGTCAGTGTGTTGCAGATAACGCAATAACTCCGACACTCGATATTGTCACCAGGTCTTTGTCGAGATTTATGATGTCATTCTTCTTGTCTCGTTGTCTTATTTTATACTGTTTACTTCAGTATCAACTTCAAACATGAACGTTATATCTTGGGGTTTATGCGATGCGGTAGTAAGAACTGTACCAGATGTCGCCAGGTAGAGAATTCAACCACTTCCGGTATCCAGTATAGGAACAGTATATAATGTATATCAAGAGTTTTGTTTGGTTGTTAAAAATGATTGTAATTTTGTTTTAGACCATTTGGTCGACTAGCTAACCATTATCGAGTATTGTGTTGAAGAATGAGACGAAAACTATACAGTTATATACATGGTTTAATATACCCGTTTTGGAAGAAAAATGCATGTATCGTCACAAAGTTTATCCGCTGTATAACCCTGCTATGTATGTTATTTTCTATAGAAAACTCTTTTGTCTTCTGTATTAATGTATTGCATTATTAAAGCAAAATAAAGAAGTCTTAGAAAAGGAACCAGACCGTCAACAAATCACTGGTCTACTGTTGTTTCTTGCTTAGTGAAGGTTTCGCAGTCGAGGTAAGTAATTTTTGGTAAATGTGAAATGCGTATATTTACAAAGAAAAGTCAACACTTGAAAGCATGTGACTTTCAATTCATTTTCAGCTATGTTGTCGATGTGCTGTCTTAGAACAAACAGTAAACAAGAGGCCAAGAGTGCCTGTATCGCTAATCACAAATAAGATCTTAGGGATAGCTCCCAGGAACTATGTCACTAAGGGTATTCCCAGATATAGCAAGAGTTTAAAGATTAGTTCTTCATCAGTATAAATTAATAAGGCATATGTATGATATTATTTTTTAAAAATAGACTGACAATTCAAAATCATTACTGTTTCTTGCTAAATCTTTAACATAGTATGTCGATTACAGTCATGTCTGAAACTGATATCTGTTGAATGGCGAACAAATACAAATCTTCATAATTATATAACTTTGCTCAACATAATATTTTGATCAACACAGGATTTATGTCGCAAAGTTCAATTTATTGTAAACGATATCATGCAATTCATTGAAATAGCAAATGATTTTCATTCACACATGTTTGGAACGTGAAGTTCATAGTTAAGACAAATACAATCAACTAGAATCAACGAAGCCATTGGCTTCTTGTTTTCCAATGTATTGTATACAAAAATAACACCGAACATTACCTGATAATGGCTGGTACCAAATGCATTGTACAGGAATGAGTAATGACAATAAAAGAGCATGTAAATCCATATTTGGGAAATCCTGATTTATTTGTTTTTATTAGCTCACCTGTCCAAGGGAAAGTGAGCTTATGCCATGGCGAACCGTCCGGCGACAGTCGTCCATCCGTCTGTCAACTTTTGTTTTAAAACACTACTAGTCATGAACGACTGAGCAGATTAAGACCAAATTTGGTCATAAGCATCCTTGAAGGAAGGGGAACAAATTTTGTATAAATGGTAAGTCCAATCTGATTAAAATCATATGTTACATGGCTTCGTTAACTTTTTATTACGCATGAACATCTGAGTGTACCGCGGTCAGGGTCACGTTCAGGTAACATTTATATTTATAACTACTCATTAAATTTTGACCATCAGATACCCTCTTTCAAAATGGCGCTCGGAGTTGTAACAAATATGGCGGAAATTGATGAGAATGATGCGAAAGTTCTGAAGTTATTTGAGATTGATCGTCTGAAACCCGAACAGAAAAAGATATTCGAAGCATTATTAGAGAAGAAAGTCTGTATGGCGGTGTTGCCTAAGCAATTATTACCCAATGGGTACGTTTTCCTTGACGTCGTAGAAACGTCAGTTCCCGCCACCATATTTGCTTTGGAAAACTAATATGTTCGATACCCCTCGCTATTTATCTATCAACCATGATATTCCGATTCGCTGGTAAACTTTTGCCAGCACGCCTCTGATTGGTTCATCTAAAGGTCACTTGAGCGTGACCCTGACCGCGGCACATTCAGATGTTCAGGCGGAGACATGTAACAGACGATTTTATTCAGATTGTGGTAGGTCTGGCCCATATAGGAGAAATATAGCAAATTCTTTAAATCCTTCTTCTTTTGTAGGAATGAAAGGATTTGTTCCATATTTGGTCAGAAAGAAGCATCCTTGGGGGAAGGGCAACACAGTTTGTATAAATGGTGGGTCTGGCCTCCCTGTAGGCTGAGCCAAATAGGGGAAATTAAGCAAATTCTTTAAAATCCGGCTTCTTCTGCAGAAATAAAGGATTTCATCCATATTTGGTCTGAAACATCCTTGGACGAATGGGAACCAATTTGGTATAAACCGTTTGGGCGGGGCCCAATAGGGGAAACATAGCAAATTATTCTTTAAAATCCTGCTTCTTCTGTATTAATAAAATGATTTGGTCCAAATAAAATGTGGAGCATCCTTGTGTAAAGGGGAACTTATTCTGTCTAAACGGTGGGTGATGCCCCCCTGGGACCTGAAGGGCGGGACACAATAGGGGAAATAGAGGTTAAACCTTTCTAATCCTTCTTTTACCATAGGGATTAAGGGATTTTATCCTAATTTAGTCTAGAGCATCGTTGGGCAAAAGACACCCAATTTCGTATAAACAGTAGATTGCCCTTCTGGGGGCAGAGAGGTGGGGTCCAATATGGGCAATAGAAATAACAACATTTGAAATCCTTCTTCTCCCATAGGATTTAAGGACCTTCATCCCAATTTAACCTGGAGCATCCTCAGGTCTTGAGAAGAAGATGTTTGAAATTGCAGTTAATTTGAACCCTTTTGGCCCCGCTTCTCAGCCCCTTGGGGTCAGACAGGGCCAATATGTGCAAACCATCAAACTGCTATCCAATGCTGATAATGCTAACTAAGTTTGAATTAATTCCAATGGAAATTAAAGAAATGTTGGTCCGAAATGTGATTTCACTATATAAACTATAGTAAAGTGTATCCCCTCCGTAGGGGGAAACATGAGACCCTGGGAGCTGGGAACCATATAATTCACAATTTTGGTTGACCTATGGCCATAGGACGTTTCTGCAAAATTTCATTGAAATTGACGGACGACGACAGACAAAGGCGATCGCAATAGGTCACCTGAGATTTTTAGGTCACCTGAGAAATCTCAGGTGACCTAATGACCATAGCTGTTGATAGGACGTTTAACAATACCAAACTAAACCAAACCAATCTACGGTATGTATACGGTGACGGCGGATGGCAGATCCTTGTTATATGCACATTGAAGCATGTGAGAGACACAAAATAGTGTAAGCTAATCTATGAAACATATGGGAGGTGATACGTAAGACAAAAGTCAACAATGTATTTTGAAAATAAAATATATTAAATTTATTTTATTTTAAGAATATACTGTCAATCGGAACGTAACGTTCATAGCAGAGGTACTTAAGTTAAGGTCTAAAATCACCTACTTCTGGATGATTACCCTGTAATGAGATAGTAACCGTGAGGATACGAAAACTTAAACGGGTGTGCGTTTATTATGGTGGGTAATATAACGCGGTAAAGAAAATGTTCAAGGGAAAATCTGACAGGTTTGTTTATTTTCCCAACATTTTCGACTTTGTACT